TGTATTTTTTGATTTTTTTTGATTTTTTTTTGATTTTTTGATTTTTTTTGTTTTCAAAACAAATAGAAATTGCGGCCTGTTTCAACCGTTAATAATCAGTCTACGAGCAATGTGGCTATCAAAGTAGCACGGCGCTGTCCATTGACCCAGTGGCCAGCAATTGTCTCAGTTTTTAAGACATGAATACCTTCTTGGTGTGGCGGTTTGAAAGTCTTCTTCGCTTATTTCGGCCAACACCAGGAAAGGATTAGAATTAGAAGAGGGCTGTTTCATTGATGGGTATGACCCCAAAGAAACCTTCTGATCAGTAAGGATTAATCCCGGTGTTGTCGCCATGGTGACGCTCCGTTCAGGTCTTTTCCGAGAATTTCTGCGTTTCCTGCCTTGAACTTTCCAACCATCATCAGAAATATTAGATACCAAAATATCAGACTTTTCAACGGTAGTTCCGACATGTTTGGAGCCCAGATCCTCTTCCGCGTCTTGAGGAGATTCTTGGAGCGAATTCTGAGTGTATTCTTGGCTGAGTCCCAGGTCTTTCTCATCAATAGATTCGGAAGCCATGTCCATACCATTGCTAACTACATTCAGGTTCAGCACCTCGTAGTTTCCCATAGTCAAGTCTATAGCCAGAGAGCTGTCAAGAATCACGTTTTCAAGAGAAGAGAGTTCAAGCTTTCCAGGAACTTTCTTGTGTGGTCTGCTTGGGCGTGGTTCCAGATAGTCGTTCTCATCGATGTCGGCCAAAACAATAAAAGGGTTATTAGAAAGAGGAGATATGGAGATAGTTGATTCGGGCTCATTGGTTAGTTTCTTTCCAGAAGTCCCAGAATCTGTCTTCACTTTTGTGACAGTTCTTCTGCGAGAATTTCTGCGCTTTCTTCCCTGAACTTGCCACCCAGACTCCATATCAAAATCTGGGTTAGCAGCAGGCAGCAGAGCGATGGTTTCCACTTTGGAGATTTCAAGTCCCCATTGAAAATAGAATTGTTCTCCGGGAACAAGTTTCCTTGCGTTCTTTCGATCTCACCAGTCTCAGTGCAGTCTACAACTACGGCTGGCTTTATAGAGAAACCAGCCAAGGAGCCAAGCTTAGAGTCTGAATTGGAAGAATGAACGGAAGAAGCACCAGTGTCCCCGTCGGAAAATTCCAAAATGCTTCCGTCGCTTGATGGAGATAAAGTGGTAGAGCAGTCTGTTTCTGTGGCCCTTGGATATCCGGATTGAAAGGCAGAAGAGGCAGCAGCAATTTGAACAGAGATGAAATCAGAGGTAGTGTTTCCACTGTGATTCTGAATCTCAGGTTCAGCCCGAAAGGGGCCAGAGTAGTATTTTTTGATTTGAACAGCGTTCAAGTCCGTGGTGGCAGATTCTGCCTGGACCGAGAGTTCAATAAGGAGCACGACAAGAAAATAGCCTGTGAGGCAAAGCGCAGCGATTTCCGAAACGCAATTGATGAGTCTGAAGCAAAATATCACTTGTGCAATCATGATGAAGCGTATGTTCGTGAAAGATGGAGAGGTAAAAGAATGTTTGGAGAAAAAGAAGAGAAGCCTCGTTTATATGGGAGAATTCATTTTTGCAGTCGGCGGCCTAACAAAGTACGGCTGCGAAATCTGATGTGCGAATCTTCACCGCGTAAAGTTTTGAAGTGAACCTCACAGCAGCTTGATTCCAGACACTATGTGCGATAATCTACGAAGGTGAATGATTATGGAATTTGTGAGTGACTAAAAGATCTTTGAACCACGTGACGTTTCTGGTGATTGATCATCCGGTGCTTCTAATGTCATGTGACTGCACTTGCCAACGGCGTCCCGTAAAGTTGTGTTTTGTTTATTTTTAGCGAGACGAAGTTCGAGATAGATTGTCAGATACTCTAATTTTGAAATCCTCTCGAAGCCCAGTCCATATTCATCGTTGTAATTCAAAATGTATCACGTTGTCGGTCAATTGCGCCAAAACATATACTCTTGCTGGCCTAGAAGGCAGCATTCTTGGGTTTTACTACGATTCGTGAGACTATTTGAATTAACTAATTTGTTAGGGTGAAATTTCCTTTTGCTCGCGACCGATGTTCTTCATTTATAATTAGTTATATTGGATGAGGGATGGATGGCTCAGAAAAAACTCAAAGATATTGAGGTGTGCCTCACCCAAATCCCCAAAATATAGTAAATCGGGGCAAAGACATCATGTCATGACCTCAGGAAAAACTCTACGCATTTTGCGGTGGTGATAATATATGCACCTGTACTTAGAGCAGTGGGGCTAAACGTATGTTTGAGCTTTTACCGAGTTGTTTTCAGTTGAATGAGTAAAAAATGCTCAAACCTCAGCCAATTGAAATTTTCAAACTTTCAATCTCGACTGGTACTAGCTTTCTGGCTTGTTTTGGCTTAAATTAAAAGTTTTTCAACCTATGAATCTAATGAGTAGACCTGATCTTTACTCATCTCCAAAAATTGGCTTCCTGATGTCGGAGCATTCAAAACATTTCAAAACAGGCCACAAGGCTGAAAGTTTAGGCCTAGACCAACTTAGTCAATAACTTTCCTCTTGTCTTTTCCTCTGTGAACAACTTGTTCCATACCTCAGGAATTTTCTCGAAAGGATTTTCAAACTTGGAAACATCTTCGATGTGAACACCTTCGTCCACTTTCACCTTTCCACTCTTGATGACGGCAACGATTTCTTTGATAGCTTCAGGGAAGTCAGAGAAGAAGTCAAAGGCAATAAAACCTTGTACAGTCAAACGGTTGCTAGTGATTTCACCCCAGGAAGTAACACTCATCTTTGATTTATCATTGTACCCGGAAATAGCACCACAAGCAATGATACGACCATATCTTTTGGTGCGAGTCAATGCATAATCCAACATATCCCCACCAACATTGTCGAAATAGACATCGAAGTTTTCGTCGCCCATAAATTCATCAATCTTTTTCTTGTACTCTATGTCTCTGTAGTTGACACAGAGATCAGCACCCAAAGACTCAACCCATTTGCATTTCTCATCAGAGCCGGCAATACCAACAACCTTGGATGCCTTGAAAAGGTGTTTGGCGAGCTGAACCACCATAGAGCCTGTGGCACCAGAAGCAGCAGAGACAAGAACAGACTGGCCTTCTTTAAACTGACCAATCTTTTGCAAACCAAAGTATGCAGTCAAACCCGTGAGACCAATAGCAGATAAGTACCATTCATAAGGAAGTGACTTGTCCACTTTTGCACTGACACTACCCTCCGGAATAATAAGCTCGTCACCCCAGTGAAACACACCAGTGATAACATCGCCCGTTGCATATTCAGCAGACCTCGACTCGAGTACCTCACCCAAACCCAAAGTTCTGATGGCTTCACCCTTATAAACTGGAGGCATGTACTGTCTCTTGGGGTCTTGGCCGGCAGAAATCCATAATCTTTGAGTGGGGTCATTCGAAAAATACAATACTCTAACTCTCAACTCACCCTCTTGGACAGCTGGAAGCTCAGTATTGACTAACTTGAAGGTCGAGTCCTTCTGGCCCCAAGACAAGTTCATCTCTTCGGCAGGAGGAGTTTGGAGAATAATTTGAGAGACCATTGTAAAAGTGAATTTCTTGCGATTTAAAAGACTTGATTGTTTTTTTCTATGCTTAATAAAACATCAAATTCAGGGGGATATAATATATCTTATAAATTGGGATATTGAGCATATGGTTGCCCCGGCACAGGCATTTGGCTTACAAAACTTTCAGCTGCTTACTAAGAAAAACTGAAAAAATTCATAATATCACTGGCTCATGAACAAAGTCTTACCATAGTCACATATTATTTTGATGATGTATCTGGCATATTATGATCAGATGATTATTAAGCATGATAAAAATTGCGCGTTTTTGCTGACTCAGATTTTCTTTTTGGAGACAAAATAGTTTAAGTCAGTTTGTGTTTAAGACTGGTATTTGAATTTTGGAATACTTTATATCAATTTTGCTAAGTGATACCAAAGTCAAAAGCTCAAGACTCAATTGAATTGATCTTGCGTTGTGTACTCACATTAACTGAGGTGCGAACATGTATAAGTGTAGAAATTAGACGCAATTATTTGAAACACCAGTTAATTTTCGAATAAAAATTGTAAAAATCTGATACCGCCTCTTCTAGTGTTGCTTATGGTATATATAACCGAGGTATACACTCATTCAAACTATACATCTTTAGCTTCATCCTTATACTCCTTTCACTAGTATACTTTATACTTTTACTTTATTCTATGTGATTATCGTAATTATATGGCTTATAGCACCTTAGAACTTGATCTTAGATCTTTGGATTACTCAAGAATAATTCGGAGCATTCTCGGTCTCTCTAAGGGTATCTTAAATATGCAGAGTTCCTTGGAGCTATGTATAAGCTTACTACACAGTGATATAAACATGCAAGAATTCAATGTTTGGATAAACGCTTTCAAAAAAATTAAAATCATAAATTTTAGTGGGATGAAGAAGGATAAAATTTCTTTTGGTAATGGAACAACGTTCAGCACAAAATGTCCACCTTGTATAACATGAGAGAAGCATCAAGTCACAATTGTTCTTCAACTAAATCACATTTTTTTTTTTTTTGGTAGATTCATCTGATTAAAGGGGCAAAACTATATAACGAATATATATAAAAACCTTTAACACATAACGCGAAAGGGCTGTTTCGGGGAAACAATGCCTAGTTTCGCGGGTAAGTGGAGTTTTTTAGAGCATGGGTTTTATAAATTGTTTCCTTTGATCGTGATTTTTTATTTGTCGAAGGTTTTTCAAAATCGTGTGTCTGCCATTAAGGGCCGGACGAACTAGAACTGATGATACGATACCCAACAGCTCAAAACGAATGTATTGAAAACCAAAGACCACCAAAGAATATCGAAATGATTTGTGACTTACTTGACCTAGTTGTTATTTCTTCACTTGAAGGCCAAGTTCATAAGATGTGTCACGTGACCACGCCTTTCTTCGTCTTGGTGCAACGGACTTTCTTACTGTTTATACAAAGCCATTCGGGTGAACAACAAAAAGGGAGTATGAAAATCGTCTATATCAGGTATAAAAAGAAAGCACAATAATTGGAGGCTAAGACCAATAGACCGAACCTCACGACAAAGATCATGTACTTTTAGATTAAAACGTTTCCCTGCAAGCATGCAAGTCCATACCATGTACCACATCATGTAAAGACATGCATCTTTCTATCTAAAAAACGAGTTACCTTCGATGCTACATCCCAGGACAATAGCTGTATTGATGGTCTCCCGCAGCCTGGGTGCAAATCTTCAGCAATAGAAGACGCGCACCCGATCTTACGCGCAGTCACGTGGTATGATTAATCTGGAGCAAGATCGGCCTGGCGATCGAGATTGCAAAATTTCGGACCCTCAACTTCTACCAACACCAACCAAATCTAACAATGGCTACTAACATCACTTGGCACGACAACTTGACCCACGATGAGCGTGCAGGCCTCAGAAAACAAAGAGGTGTCACAGTTTGGTTGACCGGCTTGTCTGCCAGTGGAAAATCGACCATTGCTTGTGCTATTGAACAGGCCTTGTTGCAGAGAGGCTTGAATGCCTACAGATTGGACGGCGACAACATCCGTTTTGGCTTAAACAAGGACTTGGGATTTTCTGAGGAAGACAGAAATGAAAACATCAGAAGAATTTCCGAGGTTGCCAAGTTGTTCACTGACTCTTGTAGTGTTACTTTGACTTCATTCATTAGTCCATACATCAAAGACAGACAGACTGCCAGGGAGTTGCACGAAAAGGACAACTTGCCATTTGTTGAGGTCTACGTCGACGTTCCAGTTGAGGTTGCTGAGCAAAGAGATCCAAAGGGTTTGTACAAGAAGGCCAGAGAGGGTATTATCAAGGAGTTCACTGGAATCTCTGCCCCATACGAGGCTCCAGAGAAGCCTGAGGTGCACTTGAAAAACTATGACGGCCAGAGCATCGAGGAAAGCGCGCAGAAGATCATTGCTTACTTGGAGGAGAAGAAATACATCTAAATGCGGTGGGCAACACATACCGAGATCGGGCCCGGCCAGACATAGAGTGTAGTATACATGTAATCAGAATAAACGCTCAAGAAACACAAAATATGCTGGCAACGTGAGTCTCTGACAAATGCTTTATTTCTTCAAACTATCTAATCTTGCCTGCAAGTCGTCCTCGTCGTTTCCTCCGACAGCCTGCGCCACTCGTGCTGGGGAAGTGCTTTCAACATTGATTTGATTCGGCGTGTCTTTCAAGCTGGTGTTCAAATCGACACCAATTTCGTCCAAGACTTTTGTCAAAATCTCGTCAGCCTGCTCGTCTTCGCCCAACCCATCCTCGTCCATTTCCATGGCGTCGTCGATGGCATCATCCATGAATTCCTGTTTTTGGTCCATCATATCGTTCTCTTTGGCCAATTCTTGTGCAATCCGCGATAGCTGTGGAAGATTCATCAGACGGTTCATTCCCAGCAATAAACGAGTGGCATCCCGCATTGAGGTGGCCATTTGCGTGTTGCTTCTCACCGACTGGATACGCAACAGAATCGCTTGTAATTGCGCCTTCATCAGGTTGAATTTGACGATATAGTTTTTCGTCCGAATGAGATCCTTGGCCTGTACCTTGGCGCTGGCAATTTGCCCCTGTTTCGCCGACTTTTTGATCTCCAGCATGAGCTTCTTTTCTTGCTGTTGTAATTTAGTAGTTTCCCTTGCTAATTCTCGCTGGGTTTTCTCCAAAGCCCGCTGGTTTTTTCGGAGCCTCTCCTGAGGCGTGAGCTTTTTGCCAAATGCCCATTCAAATAATTGGGACATGCTGCTGTGCTAATGTGAGGATTTTGGTCTCTACAACCTTGTGGGGTTTTGTGAGTTGCCTGCGCCTCCGACTCTCCGATAAGAAGGTCGCGCGCGAACCACATGTATCGTACCTTTGGGACAGTTTTTGTCAATATCCGTTACCCTATGTACCAAGTTGGTTTGCTATTTTCTATTTTTATTTTTTTGACTCTAGAGGGAGAAACATTTTCTCACTCTGCCGCTCAAATATCTTCTTCCTGGCCCAACATGGCGCTAGTATCTGTGTCATCGTACTTCTCAAGAATACTGTACAATTTGTTCACAACGTGCTCCGTGTCATCGGTGTTGATGTCCTCCATTCCGTATTCGTAGATCGAGAAAACACCGAACACTGCTGCAGCGGCACACGCAAAAAGCGCAACGTATCCCTTGCTTGTGAATCCTGGAGGCAATGGCTTGTACTGTAAGTTCTCCCCACTCAAATCAAGCCACGCCGATTCCGAGTCTCCTTTATTTCCGGCCGCATTTCCAGCAGACGAGATGCCAAGAGCTGCACACGCTGCTAAATGCGATTCATGGATTGGCGTTTGCCTTTCTTGTATGGCCAGAGGCGATTCAACCAACGTGATTGCGAGCCCCTGCTCCAAATGCCAGTCCACGTGACAATGAAAAAGCCAGACGCCAGGATTATTGGCCTTGAACCTGAGCACCACAAATCCATTGGATTGCACCACGACAGTGTCTCTTACCAAAGGGTGCTCAGGGAAATGGGTGTGCAGCGTATCCAGCAGGTTATAAATCTGAGGGTTTTCGTCATCATCGGTGCCCTCAGACCGCGAAATTACCTGGAACGTGTGCCCATGTAAATGGAATGGGTGCAAACCAGGGTCCATGTTGTTCAAGACGATCTCGACGATCTCGTTTTCCTGGAGAACAAAAGTGTTGGTGTTGGATCCGTATATCGCGGGATGATTGGCGTATTCGCCGCTGGACAAGACACTGTAAAGAGTGGGCACTTTAGGTGCAGTGTAGGAAATCCCATTGAAGAAGGCGTAGCTGATTCCGTCGCCAAGATTGTCCATTGTGAAGTTAAGCACGATTTGGTAGTCCGGGCTGTCGAACAAAACGTCTTCTCGATGGGTGATCAAGTCCATATCATTGATGGGGTGAATTGTTTTGATGAGCTTCTCGAAGTGCTTGTGACCATTGGCTAAAGGCTCTGCGTGGTGCGGCTCCTCCGCGTAGTCTAAGTAGTTCGTAGATATGATTTTGAGGTCCGAGGGGAGGAAATCAAGCATGGGCTCGTCCATGATGTTCACAAACCTAAACGAGTCCTGCTTGGGGCTTCTCTTGGTTTTGAGTAATACGCCGTACCTCTGGGCCACGCCAAGGTACAAGGAGTCCACCGTAACCGGCTTCACATACACACCATCCACTTCAACAATGGTCAATTCGTGGTCCTCGATGTACAAGTACTGGCTTACAAACATACCAACGTTCACAATTCGCAAGTAATATGTGGTGTCGGGCTGCACGTTCCACGAAACTGACCGGGACTCGTTGAACAAAGAATTCTGTGGAATTGGCTCTGCCCCTGTTGGGTTGTATCTTGACTGGAAAGATTTCATGATATCCCTACTCTCCAAGTGATAGTGATCCCCCACAGTCAAGGGCACCTGCTGGTCAAACTTGAATGGGTAATCCTCCTCGGAGTTTTCCTCCACGATAAACACACCCCGGAGACCATCGCTATATTGCGAGCCCAGATGCGAGTGGTACCAATATGTGCCAGCTTGCTTCACAACAAAATCATACAAATATGTGTGGCCCGGGGGGATGGGGCATTGGGTGACATACTCGGGGCCGTCCATGGAATTGGTGGACTCCATGAACAAACCATGGAAATGCAACGACACATTTCGGTCGGACATCCCATTATGAAGGTGTATGATGACACGGTCGTTTTTGGCGACCTGAATCACCGGATTGGGCCACTGCCCGTTGATGCCGATGACCGGTCTTTCATGTTCGCCATCCGGGTTAGCAGTCACGAGCGTGGTGTTGAAAAAATACTCGTGGGTAGCTGCATTAGCCACGGCTAAAAGTGGCAGAAGAATTGCCAACACAAACCAAAGCATAGAAATTTGAGCAAACAGGAGCTGCTACAGTCTGAGGGAAGAAGTAAGATGTATTTTTGTGTTTCGTATACAGATTTCTTGTCCCCATTGCAGAATTCTTGTGCTTGGAGCCAAGCCTCTACCTGCAAGAGTGCGCTCTTCGAGGGCCTGTGCACGTAACCACGTCGGCTAGCAATGGAAGTCCCAAGCAGGCCTCCACAAGGCCCGAGACCAAGTCACGTGTCATCAAGCGAAGGACTTCAACTCGATACTTCCGCTGTCCGCGCCGCCATCCGCGCGCTGCTTGCTGTGCGTCACTAAGGCCTCGGCCGCCTTCCTCTGCTCATCATTTAGCTGTTCCACGACAACCTTCTTAAAGCTGTCTATCCTGCTGTTCATGAGGTCTAGCATTTTCTCATGCAAGTAATCTCTGCTCAAAACGCCCCTTTCATCGTAGTTTATAAGCAAAGGAATAATGAGACTAGTGAAGGCAGTCCCCTTTTCCATTTCATCAATCAACAGAGATTGGTTAAACATGTAAACAATCTCGAACTTGACCTTCGTGACGACTTCCTGTTGATCATCGTAATTCAACAACGAGTCGAGTGTGCCCCTCAAAATCGCTTTCGTCACTGTGGCTGAAGCACTTGACAGCCCTGCATGATTAATGATTGATTTGATAGATTGAATGCTCATTGATGCTAGATCGTCATCAGAAATTCCGTCAACCAACGACTGAGAAAAGCTCGATATCTCTTGCTCGTCAAAAGTAACGTTTCCCCCAGTAATCAATATCACCATGGTAATGATGTACGTTTTTTTGCTGATCGCAGAGCCGAAGAGCCCGTTGGACTTCAAAACCTTGACAAAGGAGCAAAGCAACTCGTCATTAGTGTTGCGAGCTTGTGATACAATTGTTTTCAAAAATGGTAAGGTAGCTCCAATTAAAGCATCATTCCCGAATTCAAAGAACTTAGCGATCAAATAGAACATACACGAGATCAAGTCGCTTTTTGATTCTTGAGAGAAACCTTGCATCATACGTGCAAGTACGGCAAATTCTTTGCTTGCCAAGGTGAGACTGCTCTGTGAACCACATCTTTTGAGAAGTATCTTGCTTGACTCATCTTCTGGGTCGAAATCCTGACGCAAGAAAGGGAATATCTCAAAGAGAGGAAGCATAGCCACTCTCATTAGCTCCGAGTACTTAACAAACGAAGAATCATTCGGTTTCGAGATTTTGGAAAATGCTTCAAATAAAACACTCACCGTTTCTATGACCTCGCACTTTGTCTCAGTCTCCTTTTCCATCAAGATTAGGCGATCTAAAAGGTCAATCACTTCTCCAAAAACGTCTTCGTAGAACAATGACATTGCAAGACCCGGGACTCTGACAAGCCTGTTGACAGACTTCAATACCTGGGAAACATTGTGATTTTTTATCAAAGCCTCTGAGCACTGACAGAACATTACAAAGAAAAAGTTATCCTCCTCGTCTTGCAAAGCGTTTTGGATAGCCGAAGCATCTTTCTCGAGAATGAGACTGAGTACACCAACAAAGTTGAGCCAATAGTTCTCGTATAGTTCTAGGTCCTTTGAATTTGGCTGATTATACCTTAGGCTGGAGAGTTCTTTGAGAACTAGAATCCAAAGCGAAATCAACAACTTGGAGTACTTTTGCAAAATCTCTTCAAATTCGGGCTCACTAGTTCCGTGGGTAGTTGCAAAATTCACGTGAAGAACCGCCCAGCAATTCAAAATTGACAACTGAATGGCTTTTCTGCCGTACTCGGCCATTGTCTCTAAGTGAACGAATTTTAAAAACTTGTTGGACGAAACCTCTTCTAACAAGTAAATCATCGTCCGCAAAATTCTCTGTTTCGAATAAAAGTTGATACGAGGAAGATTGATAAACTTGGAAGAAACATCGATTGCCTCAACAATTACACTCGCATCACTATCGGAACTGAAACATGGAATCAAAGCACTGATAATTTGAGCCTGTTGCTGCTCGAGAATCGATACCCCAGGGTATAATGGATCTTCCAAGTGGCCAAATACATCTAATGCATTGCTAAGAAGTTCCACTCCCTTAATTTTGATGGAGACAATTGGGGTTGCGGTGCCTAAAAACGAAATACGCACTATTTCTTGAATTTTGGGCTCTAGCTTAGCAGCTAAATGTGGATTCTTTTTTGAATCAGATAGAAATTTGATGAGCAAGTCATAAATAAGCAGTCTGAAATCCCAGTTGATGGGCTGGTTTTGATTGTCCATCTCTTCGTGAGTTTCCACGATGTTTTGTGCTTCTTCGTCAGTGAAAAGGAAGTTAGCATCCGTGTTGACTTTCTTGTGTCTTTGTTGGAAAGGTAGCAACTTTTGCTGGTAGTTGATTTCAATGAATTTTCCTGTCAACTTTCTTGAAGACATGTTAAAAAGCTGAGTTAGTTGGTGAAACCAATTAGCTTCTGGATTATAATCTATCCAGTAAGAGATGAGTGACTTGAGCTCTCTACAAGGCTTTATTTCCATCAGAACCCACGCCAAGTTCAATGATTCTTTCCCCAACGTTTTGATTCCAACTTTTGTCATTTCTGCCAAGCTGACAAGCGCTTGTTGAAGTAGTTCTTGACTCGTTGTGAACGAAAAAATTTGATCCAGGTTAATGGATGTAGGTCTCACATTTCCAATTCCAATCTTCAAATTTGATTGAACGATCACAAGAGCAAATTTTTTAAACCACTTGGCAAAACCCCTAGTCAAGGCTGGGTCGAAAATAATCAATTCCTGACATGCCAACAAAACTGTTGAGACAGAATTGAGGAGGTCATTCATGCTCAGACAACGAATTCCACGCGACAATAAAAGTAAAATCTGAAAAATTTTGGTTTTGGTTGCTGTGTGGCAGTCTCGTACTCGAGGTCCCAAGGATGTGATACAGACTCTCACCAAGCTAGCCACAGTACTTGCGAAGCCATATTTGGAGCGCAAATTTGTATACATAATATTCGAGTCGGTCAAGCTGAGACTGTCCGAAATAAAGTTGGAATAAGTCAAGGTCAAGATTTCTTCAATCAAAGACTGATTGCCGAGAGGGTTCTCAAAGAGAATTGTTGCCGCTCTCAGGCTATAATATGAAATCACTGGATGTGCGTCTTTAATCAACTGAATCATAACATCATGGATTTCAATGAATCCAGAATGAGTGTAATGGTTGATTTTTGCGAGAGAGAAAACGCAGCGGCCCCTATGGAACGGAGAGGAGTCGATAACGATCTTGCCGATTATAGTTGCAATAACCTCTTCCACTTTCGGCTTCTCAAGCAAATGTGCAGCTAACCCGACCAGATCTGCACAAATGGATACCAATGCGGGGTCCGTAGAGTCGATTAGATCTATGATTTCAAGAAGAAGTAGCACCAAGTCTTCGCTGAGAGACATTTTCGTTTTCACGGTATGGCTTAAGAGACCATGGACAGCAACTCCGATATTGATCATCAAAGCTTTGCGGCGTAATGGGTCCACCTGCTTAACACTGAGAGAAGATCTTAGCTGTTCAAGAAGGGAAAATTGGATCTTGTAGCTCAATCCAATAAACACAAGTTGAAAAAGCTCAATGGAAAGATCAACTAGGGATGTTATCACATTTGTCGAATATTCATGGCATAAAGAGTAGCGGTTTAAAATTAAAGTAGCCGGATCAAAGTTTATGCTGTGGCAGGCAGTCAGGTTTTGCATTGACTCAAATGCGTCTGACCAGCTAAGAATATCAGAGGCTGACAGGTTTTCGATACAAGACTCGAAGTACATTGCTGGCTCACGGAAAAATGAGCTCGTGTATGGCATTCCCTCACGAAGCAGCTGAGATAATTTGTCTCTGTAACAAATTTCATCAATCTTTGGGGTATCAGACAGAAATTTACTTGTAACACCAAAGTTGTAGTTGCAATCTTCCTCTAGGAAAATAAAACTGTCGTCTTGATGAACAAACTTCAAGGCTGGCTGCTTGGACTTGATTATCTTGCTTTTGTCCTTGGTGGTGTCACTGGATGTGTGTCTGGAAAAAAGTTTGGCATCTGCAAAAATCTTGAGAAGGAGAATCACCAAAGTAGAGTTAACTTCTCCTTTGAGAGAATGGGCAATTTTAACAAAACCTTGCATAACAATCTTTTTGTTATAAAGTATCAAACTTGCTAGTTGATGCTCCTTAGACAATTTCTTTCCTTCGGAGTAATTGGAAAAAAGGAAATTGCTGGCTAGGTAAGGGCTGTATTCGGACTCGTTGAATGCCTGAGGATTGAACCCTGTAACGAGTCCCAAAGCACCAAATTCACTCTCGAGAAAAACCAAGTACTTTTGAGATTTGATCAAGAGAAATTGGAGTTGCTTCATAAGCTCCGGAGTGGCTTCAACTGCAGATATGTAATTCAACAAACAGAGTAAGCTGAAAGTTCTGAGTTTTAAATTTTGAACCACGTCTCGTATATTTCCAAGTGTTGAGTCTCCTGATAATGCCGAAGTGGTAAATTGAGATGTTAACAAGTTTTTCCAGAAAACCAAAAACTGCGACGAGTTCAACTTCACAAACTCAGACTCATGGTAAAAGGTCACAAGAGCTGACAAAATTATCCAGAAACCACCATTCTTTATATTTTTCAGCCCAACAGAGCTATTGTGCTTCAAATTTTGTGTGCAAAAACTTACGAGTTTTGCGACGGTGGAGTTTTGAAGCAGGGTTATGTCGGATTGCTTGATGAGAGCCAGCAAAGCAAGTGCGTACGATAACAACTTGGTTATGCCAGACTTTGTGATATTTCTATCCGTTGGAGGAGCTGTAGTCTCATTCAGGTTTTGAGAATTGAATTCCTGGCTTACCATTGCGAATACTTCCAAGCTTAGACGATTGCTTTCTGACCGGTTCACAGCAGCATAGTCAAGAAGACAAACCAAGCTGTAATTTCTAATGTATTCAGATTCATTGGCAAGCAACGAAAGGAGCAAATCACTGACGTAGCTATTTCTTTTCGTAGTAGAATGATTCTCATCTTCATCAACCTGTTCATCGTCGTCATTGTCCACATCCCCCACCAGAGTTTCATTGCTTTTGGAATGAACCAAAGAGTTGAAGTCAACACTGTGTGAAACAAGTAAGGTCACGATTTTCAAGGCCAAATTCAATTGGTACGGATTCGTGTATAGGTTTATTTGACACTGTCCAAGTCCCTTTTTCTTGCTTTTCTTCAATGCTTTGAACCCAAACAAGCCTGATTCACGTTTTTTTTCGTTGCTCAATCCTTTCGAAACTGAGTTTTCGGCACGTGAAGATTCATCTTGCGATGACGAAAAATGCAGCATCACAAAACGAGCCATCGTATCGTGCAGCTGTGCTCCACTTTCAGTGATGAGAAACTCTACTACTTTGGCCCACTGAGACAAAGTCCTTGCCCAAGCTCCGTTTTGAATATGCAAAACGTGACTCATGTCATCAAACAAAAATAAAATTGAATTGATAAGACTCGTCAATGACGAGGCAAGGAAATCTTTATCCTGCAACAGTTCCAACTGAACATAAAATACAAAGGCTTCAACCACACCTACTTGAAGTAAAAGAGTGTTCAAGGTTGAACCTGGCTTTGCCTCTGTGTCGTAATTTGAAAACACATGGGCTTCTTTCTTCACATCCAGAATGGGTTCAGCATCTGCGCCAACCATGCACGTCATAGATTCGTTCCACAAATTCATTTCTGGCATTGGGTATAGTCCAAGTAAGTAATTGGCTGGGCTGAATTTTCCAGTTGCAACAAAATTTATGAGTACGTTGGCAAGGAGGTCAACGGTGGCGCTACGAACCTCTGAAAACTGAGATTGTAAACCAAATAAAAACACTTTCTCGTGGGTTGAAAGAATAGCCTGTTGGAACAGATCCTGCTGAGCCATGATAGCCTCCGGCTTCAATTTACTGCTTGAGGTTGATGAAGCAGATGTTTCTAGCAATGTCTCGTAGTGGGATGACGCTTGCAAGACCAAAAGATTTTTCAAGGCTTGGATATAGTAAGATACCATGGGAATACTTGGTCCATTCTCTAAAGCAGCTTCTGGCAATTCAGAAATGAGAATGCTGTGCTGAGAGATTGTCTTCAGAACAAGCTTTACTATTTTGGCCAGGAACTTTTCGTCAATGTCGGATTTAAGAGCTCCCTTGACCACTGTACTGAGCAAGAACACAAGGTTGCTACTCACAATTGCATTTTTCTTCAAAATTTTGTAAATTTGCGTTACAGCAAAGTTTATCAACGACGCCACATGGAGCGGATAGGTTTCCAAGATGTCGATTAAAACGATGCACGCTATTTGCCCGCTGCCGGGAAATTGACCCTTTTCATCCAATCGAAGCTCTCCTAAGAGGTTATTGGACAAGTCGTATACTTTACTCGGAAGCTTTTCCAATACTGTAATCATGGTCCTCGAAAGCATTTTGACGGCTGTTGAAGAAACATTCTCCTTTGTGCCAGCCTCGCTCGTGGCATCAGGAGAGCTTGTCTTCTTAGTAATAATCCGCTCATTTTCTAAAGCAAGCATACGCTTCAAAAGACCTTCCAATTGGGCGAAAATTGAGGCATAATTGGGGGATTCATCCTCGTCAATGTGACCCGACAAACATAGGTCCAAATTGGCTAAAAACGAGAGCCCATTTTCATTGGTGTAAGCATCAGCAAGCTGGTGATGATCCGATGACATGCCAGAAGAATTTTGAGTGACGTGATATTTTATATTCTTCTTTGTTTCAAGTAATCCTGGCGGGCACTTTGTCAGGCTGGAATCTCAGAGGCATGTGTTTGACAAAATGGTCACGTGATCCACGCGTCGCTCACAGCTCGAATGTATTCAATATGCATAGCCTCTTCAGACCAGGCCTCAATGATTGTGTAGAATATCCTGATCCTTCCTATTAAAAAAAAAAAAAAACGCCGTGCTCAGAGAGAACAAGACTTAAAATACGTCAATATGATACAGTTTCATCTTGAGCTCGCTCACTAGAGCAGCAAAAAAAAATCACGACAAAAAGCTTTTCATCACATTTCGTAGCTTAAACTTCTTGGATGACCCTCGACCTAGCTCAGGGATCACATGCATGCCTTTATGTCTACCATCGTCCAGGCGTGTCTGCGTAGCTTGTAGAGATAAGCGGTCTTTGCCCTTCTCAGACACACTTCTTCTTGCTTCTTTTTTGCGCGTCTTCTCGGTGATCGGTTGAGCTTCTCCTACGTCTGAAATTGCAGAGGCAAACGAGGTCAGGCCCTCGGATGGAAACGACAAGGCCATGGGTTTGCTCACCTCAGCCGTAGAAAGTGACTTGAAGGCGAGGGAAGTGTTCACTTCTCCTACTTTTTGTCTCAAGATATCAGACTTTGAACATAGCTCTTGGAACCGGGTTAGAGACTCCGAGCGCGGGAATTCAGCCTCCACCATGGGCGCTGGAGGTTCTGTAGCAAGCATTTCGTCTATATCTAGAACGGTGCTTTCGGCAAACGCAAAGTCCCTGAAAGTGCTGTCACGCTTACTGCGGGTGAGTCGTACTGGTTGATGGGCAGTGATATTGCTGAGATTGGATATTGTGAGTTTGTGCTGCGCATTGGCTTGTCGTTCGAGGTCAAGGTCGTTCTCCACCATGGCCAACTTTTCAAGGAGCTCATTGTTGAATTGGTTGGCTAGCTGAAGCTTGCTCTCGACGACTCGGTCTCTCGAAAGGAAATCATCATTCAGAATCTCCATTGCTACGAGTTTATGCTTGAGATCCGCAATTGTTTCCTCGTAGGCGGACTTAGTCTCGACCAACAACTCCAGAAGGCCAGTCACTTCCGAGTTCAAGGATATGACCCTAGAGTTGAGCATCGAAATCTGTTTATCCTTGGACAGCAATTGGTGAACCAACGTGGATTTCTGAGTTTCTAGATCATGGAGCTCGTCCTCGAGGGCTAGTTCGAGGTCTTTGCTGGACTCCTGGAACTCGACCAACTCCAGCTCCAACTCTAGCATACGAAGGTAGACTTTTTCAAATTCAACAGCATCCATTGTTGGGGCGGCATCTTTGGCAATACCAGTCATCGAGTCTCCGTTTCAACGTGTTTTCAAGAGTACTTCAAATTTGCGTGTGCAGGTGCCCCATCATAAAGTACACTGCGCGACAATGAAGTAGGGCCGCGGTTGTGCATCTGACAATCCCTCCGAAGACCATCCATGAACACGGCCGAGCACTCGTTCACCTCACAATTAATCATGTAGAAACGGCAACTTACCGCCACAAGCTGTATTCCTGCTGTTGGGCGTCTTGCTCCGAAACACGTGAAGACACGGCCGCCACGGCTGCATTCGCAACCAGCGCGGCCTCATTTTCAGCATTTCGGCTTGCATCGAAAGGTTTTGGTCGAAGCTCATCGTAGGAACTAATGGGCTCAGGCGCATTTTGTGGCATCGGGGAGACGTGGCTATCGCTGTTGAGGGTCGTTTGGTATAGTTTGCGGACGAGTTTGGCCACGGCAGCTTGGAGAGGAGCTTCCTTGTACTCTCTGATGGTCGCGCGCATCTTCTCGAATGCGAGCTTGAAGTCGGCAGTAGTCCAGAGGATCTTGCTTTTGTCCTTGTGCGTCTCGTGGTACATGTGCACGATATAGTCCCAATCGATGGACTCCTGGTCCGTGACGTTGGACTCCAAAATCCGGTTCAACATCCACAACTTGATGGAGTTGTCCATCATCGAGATCCTAGAAATCGACTCTCTCCGCAAGAGCTTGTTCCACTTGTAGCGGCACTGGATCCTGGAGCGGACCCCGTTCATGCGCTCGCTCACGACGGTCCAGTTGATGAGAATCGGTTTGTCGGTCTGCGACTCGTTCGTGATCATCTCCATCACTATGTTCTTGAGAGACTGCTCCTCGTCCTCAGACCACTTGTTCATGACCCGATTGGCACCGCACTTGATGTAGTTTCTCCAGCGGTCTCTGCAGTCCTCGGGCATTCTGTTCATGGCCTCGCCAATGTCCTTCCAGTTGGTGCTAGCGTTTTCGGTGAGTTTGCGGAGAAGCTCGTCCTCCTCGGGAGTCCATATCGCCCGCACCAGGAAAACGTGGTACTGTCTGCGGACGTGCTTGTACACCGAGGCTTTGGAGCGGTAGGGTAGCACCTTGGTCACGGACTCCCAGAAATTGTCTTTGGGCCTCTCCGAGGTCCATACACGGCGGCATATGTCCATGCGGCTGAGGTGGTTGAGGCGGCAGTAGCCGCGCAAGAAGTGCTTCACGATGTTGATTTCCTGCTCAGAGAACACCCTGGGCCCACGGCCGCCCGCGTCCGATTGCGTGTTGTACCACAAGCACGCCTCGCTCGACGCCTGCGTTATGAGAGTCTCGAGCGAGGAGGCATTGTACTTGGACTCGGCCGAGAGCGCCGGCTCGCTCTGTTCCGGCGCCACGGCAGTGTGCTTCTTCAAAGGCCGCTTGGCCTCGCGCCTGTCGCGCCTGTATCCGGCAGAAAGCGCCGTGGCGGCATGCGCTAGATGGTTGATGGCAGTGGAGTTTTGTTCGTCGTGGCGGCCTCCGCCACGCCGGTCTTGATGGGCGCCGATCGGCGGGGGGAGCCTGTGATGCGAGGGCCCGGGCGAGGCGAGCTGCTTGGCCAATTCCCCGGCTCCCAAAATGGCCGCGTGCACTAGCTGGTCGTGCTCGGAGTGGCCGTCCAACCCGTCCAAATTCGGGTCGATGTCGTTGTGGTCGCCGTAGTCCTTGCGCTGCCGTTTCTTCGGCGTGGTGCGCTCGAAGCCGGCCGCCACCTCCTCCTCCAAGAACCGGTCCCACTGGTACTCCGAAAGCAAGTCCTCGGGGTTAAGCCGCAGCCGCTTGCGCAGGAGCTCCTCTTCCTCGGGGGCCTCTGCATGCGGGGCGCCGGCCCCATGGAGCTCCTCGCCTGTATCGAGCGTGCCCCCCACGTAGCGCATGACGGCGGCCTCCACGGCGTCGTTCAACAGCTGGCTGGCCTTGTCCATCAACTCATTGACCTCGGGATTGTCGGCCGCGAGCGAGCCGTGTGCGGCGTCCGCGGATGCGGCATGGATTGCCGTGTTTGTGTCTCCGGGATGAGGCTGGCTGGCATGTGCATGGCCACTGCTGCGGTGTTCACAGGGGCTGTTGCCCGGCCCATATTTGGCCGCTTCCACAAACGCCATCGAGCTGTTGAGACCGCCATCCAGGCTGTCCTCGCCGGGCGGCTTCGCGCTGTTTTCTGGGCCTTCGCCGGCGACCCCAGAATGGATGCCGTTTGTTTCGGGCTCTTCAGTCTGAGACGTCTCAGCATTGCTGGCCTTGCCTTCCGAGGTGCCAAGCAGAAGAAGAGCTCGGGCCCCGCCGATTTCCGGTTGGCTTTGCATCGGCGTGCTTGGGTGTGCGGGTTTTTCGGTGGCTCTCGGAACCCGATAAAATGCCGGGCGGGGTGTATTTTGCAGCCGGTTGCACCACGTCTGTTATCTGAGGGTTACCCGATTTTATGGTTCCGTGTACTCCAGGGCGATGGGCCCAGGCAGGTTCGCGGGTGCGAAGCTCTGGGGGGTACGGGTGTGGCCTGGGGCAGACTCGCCTCCAGAGCGCCCACGAAATTGCAGATGGCCCCATGCCACCACGCCACTTTTCCACTGGACATGTTTGCATTGGCCAGTGCTGATCAACACGTTGAGTGTGGCATTCGTGCGCTGAAGGCCAGCGCAAAATTCAGCCGCTCCGCTTGACACGGAGTCTGTCTTTACTGGCCTGGGCCCTTTCCTCCGCGTTCTGCATGCCCACCCAGCCCCAGGCGCGGCCGGCACTCCAGGGCCTGCGAGTCAGTCGTATAGTAGTACATCCCCAAGATAAAATCAGGACGGCCTGGCTGACCAACACATCTCTGCACACTGCTGTCGGCATTGGCGTGCAATTCTCTTCCCCGACACAAAACGAAGAAACCTCCATGCTCAATTATAATGACGATGAGCAGACGCTCCTCCAGTTCTACTGCACCGGTTCCCTCGACCTGCCTGTGGCTACATTGCCCCTGGCGATATCGGCAAAAGGAGCCAGCGACACGCAAGGACTCGAAACCTTGAACCCCGCCGAGCAGTACGACGTGCTCAACCAGTTTCTTACGGCGGCAAACTCTCTGTATGGACGCCTCTCGCCTGTGCATGACTTCCAGGACCCTTTGAGCGGGGAAAACGTCGCTAAATTGCTCGTCAGAAAAGGCGTGGTGGAGTCCGAAGCCGACCCGCAGCTTCAGAAGTTCCTAGTTTCCTCCCAGGAATTCAACCCCCAGGCATATCTTTCAGTTGTTCACGAAAACACGCAGATCGAACATCTCGTCGCGTCACTTGACGGGCTAGACACAAGCATTCGCCGCCAGACCTCGGATTTGAAGGCCGTGTTGGACGAAAACTTTGAGGACTTTCTCTCATGCAAACGGTCCATCGATGAGATCTTGGCCTCTTTCCGGGAACTGAAGCTGAAAGCCCAGAAGGACATGGAGAAGTCGAAGGTATTCAATCCGTCTGCACAGAGAAACAGAACGAAACTCGAGGCTGGTGAATCACTACTTTCGGAGCTTGAAGAGTCCATCAATAACTTGAACTTGTCGTCGTCCCTCATGATCAGACCTATAATGGACCACAACGCGAAGGAGGCAAAAATAAACAAACTTGTTGAGTTCATACAAGCCAACCGCTTTCTCTTTGACCTTCCCAGCAGGTTGATAGAACACCTTTGTAATAGTGATGATGAAAGCTTCATCAACGACTACCAAAAGTTCGTAACGGAAAAGGCCGATCTTGCAGAGAAACAACAGAGAGCTATTGCAGATGCGGAAGACTCCAAGGATTCCACTACACTCAGATCTTTGGAAATGACCCACGCTTTTCAGAACACTGTGTTAACTAGAGTATACACTGAAGTGGCTAAGATGGTCGACGAGTACCGCCAAAAATGTCTCCAGGACCTATTGTCCACGGATCACGAAGTTAATAAGACTAGCAATCGGAAATTGGCGCTGGACGTGAAATTCATCGATATTGTCGATAGATTGCACCGTGTTAGTATGGAGGAGTCCAACACTGCTCCAATTAGCCAATTTCTCAAATCGCAATTGTTGAAAATGGAAAGTGAGCTTACGTACGAGTGTGAAAAATTCGAAACGCGCTTCTCACTGATGCAGAATAAGCTCAAGGATTATGTTTCCTCGCTTTCTCAACAGCGCCCCGATGGATCATACGTCAGTCATATTGCTGAAAAGTTTGACAGCGTGGAAGAGTACTTCAGGGTTTCATCCACATACACCACACTGGAGATCGACTACGAGACAAAAATGGTGATTCTCGATATCTTTGGCAATAATGAGAATTTGGATCTTTCCATCATCAATGAAACTTGGTTGGTTTTGGCCAATTTCATAACGTATATTGAGAAGTTCTTCAAGGGCTCCATGTCCAAATTTGTGAAAAATTATGTGCATTACTCAAATTCAGAGTTTAACATTGATAACGATGGCGAGCTCCAAGCCAAATTCTTTCAAATCGCAAGCGATATCATTGATAAGATTATGAACATTTTTGACTGTGGAGATCATACAGATCAGCTGAAAATAACTCCCTCCAATTACGTGGCTTTCCTTCCATACCACACAAATTCGTTATCCGCGATATATTACTTAAGTGCAATTTCCAGGAGTTTCTGCAACCTTCTTACTCTCCTAGGAGAATACACAACTAAGGTTGGAAACTCGACAAAAAGCTTCGACATCAATAAGTTCATCAAAATCCTCCGAGAAACTTCTTTAGCCTTTGATCTGAGAGTTTTAGAGGCTATCTGTGCTACATGGGTTAATGATTGCTCTCAATTTTTCGATCTAGAAAATTGGGCGAAGTACAATATTTTTGGTGATAAAAACACGAAGAGCGTGATCTACACTAAACTCATGCAAATAATATTTTATTACGAAATCTTTGTGCTTGAGAGATTGGCCCAGTTGTTAATTCGCAAGACAGAGTCCAACGATTTTGAGGTGCGTATTGTGTCCTCTTACCCCAGTAAACGGATTTTGGTCAGCTTGGAAATTCAATTCATGCGAAGCATGAATGTTTTGGTTGAGTCGATTTTGAAAAAGTTTACAGCAAGGAGATCTTTGTTGGCTGATGAGGGCGAAACAGGATACGAAACCGAAAAATGTATCTTTAAGGTATTGACTATGAACAACTTCACTGCCCTTGGGGAATTCATTTTCCCGAAACTCATCAAAAATTTTGATGTCTTATTTGAGAGCACGTTACTGAAGCAGTCCTTGAAGTTGTTTGCCGATTTGGACAAGGTGAAAATTACAATCTTAGACGACATAAACGAGATTGAAAAAATCTGGATTGAATCCAAAATTGATAAGCACTTCAGGTGTGTTGCAGCTTCCAACATCTCACGCGAAGTCGAAGTGGACCCATTCGTCTACAATTGTCTTTTGCATTTTGTCAAGCTCGTTCACGTTTTGAAGCCGATCACCGATACCAACACCTTTGTGGCTATAATTCAACAACTCCAGAGCCATTTCTTGTCAAAATTCTTGCAGTGTTTCAGGCAAGTTATGGAACAGGAAAACATAGAAGTTCTGATTTTGGCCAATGTCAAACTTGACCTCGACTTTTTCATAGAGGTATTCGAGGCCAGTGAAACTCTTAGGTTGGACGATTTTTGTATGAATTTGGTGCAGATTGCTTTTGCCGAAATCCAGAAAGTTGAGAATTTATTTGCTGATCTCCCTTACACTGCGCAAGAGATTGATCATGAGCTATTTAAGGCTCTAGAGTACAGTGACAATGAGTTCACATGCTTCCTTTGATCGAGGTGGAGAGAATTGGTCTTCCGACAAGCTGCATATTTCGTGTGATCATTGACTGATTGACTCACTCACAGCTTCAATAACATTCTTTGTTCTAGAATTCAGCTCCACATCCTTTTATTGATTTTAGTGATACGTAGAAACGTGTGTATTAGAGAGGATTTAGTCCGGCACACCATCATTATCTCATCTCATTGCTACATGAGGATGCGCGGCAGTAGTTAGCTAGCATGAACCAATTAACTGAGAATGTCCCGTGACACAGTTAATGAGATTCTCGAGAGCGAAACTGGGGCTTTTCGCAATGCATGCCGTCAGTGGTATGTTGATGGTACTACAGAACTAGGACTACCTGTGAAAGTCGAAGAGGCTGCGATGTTAGTAGGCTCATCTCCAGCAAAAACTTACACTCAGTTGAGTCTCGCTGCCTTCGAAACACATCAAAGCGTACTCATTGGCGGGAAAGGCAGTCATTTAAGCAAAGCCATTGCGGTGGCAGAACAAGTCAAACAGACGACCAAAGCACGGTTCGTGCAGTTCAACAAAGCGTCTTTGCATTCGTCTCTCATCAACCCAGCGTACAAGCCATCAGCGAGCTTAAAAAATATAGAAGTTTTTCTCCGAGACGGCGAGTCGACCCAAGAAGATCTGGCTACACAATCGAGCCAGCCGTCTACCAACGATGTTTTGCGGGAAATCAAAGGTCATAAGGTATACAAAGTTCCATCGATTGCGATTTTGCTAGTGAAAGATACGCAAGTGGCCGAAGAAAAACTACTGGGCTGGACAAGGCAGTGCCACCGCTGAGTAGCTCAGAAAACCGAACTAACACTCGGACTCGTATGGGAATTCTTCGATGTTTCTAAACCTGAGTGGTCCAGACAGACGGCTTTGAACTTTCAAGAATATGAAAGTCAATGGTCTGGTTTCTACAAAAAAAAAAAAACAAGCAGTGCTTAAGCCCAGTTCGAATGCTCTGGCGAGACCTCGGTATTGGCGACGATCATGTTCGGTTGAGGACTCATGTGTGACACGAAAACACACGCGGCGCTGGGCAAAGAACACCTTGTACAACTCACGAGTCGCACATCCCTTGAGTATGGTGACAAACAACAATAATCGCCTTAAGTTATCACATTAGCGGGAAAGCAAACCCTTCTGCCTCAAATGGGTTGATATTTATGCCTGCATATATGTGCTAACCAATGGCGAGTAGTCTTTCGCGACCAGAATCGTAAGGCTAGAGAAAAAAACCCGTAGTTGAAGCCAGCGTATACATATCTAGGAAACTCAAGCATTCACCATGGCTATTGATCAAGAAACTTTCAAATTCGAGACTCCACAGTTCGACCCAAGATTCCCCAACACAAACCAGACTAAGCACTGTGCGCAAAACTACGTTGACTACCACAAGTGTGTTGCAGTTAAGGGAGAGGACTTCGAGCCTTGTCAAATCTTCTGGAAGACTTTCACCTCCTTGTGCCCCGTCGACTGGGTTGACAAGTGGAACGACCAGAGAGAGGCCGGAAAATTCCCCATTAAAATTGAGCAAGATTAATTGATGGCATAAATATCCACGAATACACATCACTGATACACTATTGTAGCTCATGCTTATCGATGGTCCTTATATTATCTGATTAATCCGAAGTTAAATATCACGACTCCCACTTTTCTTCATCCATGCCCAAGTGCTGTAAAAACTCTTGGAAGATCATCTTGATGAGCTGCAATTTTCTTGTGTGATCCCCATCGCGTTGAAAGATCACCAAAACTCATCCTCCACCCAATTCTCATTCCGAAATTCGTTGCTACTACCCCTGAGGTTTTCCTCGGTAAACATGTCCGCGTAGGGATCCTTGTTGAATATCTTTTGTTGCTGGCGCAATTTTGCCTCTTCTTTTGCCCGCTGCTCCACTTTGCGGACTTCGTCTCTTTGGGTCCTTGTCCACTCACGTAATGCCTCTTCCTGTTCTTTCACAAATTGTTCTGTGGTGATTTCTGTCTTTGTCCGGTTGAGCTTATTTACTATACTGTTGTCTTTTTTGGTGACGTGCACTCTTTTGATTTTTTGTGGATTGACAAAAGTCACTGTGCCTGTATCCATCAGCCCATCACTTCTTAAGTTGTCGACCGGAGTGTAGATGATTGTGATATTGTTAAGCTTATTGGCCTTGATGGAATTTGCTTTGGTTAATTGGGCGATTTGCTGTAGGAGGTCGGCATCTACTTGCAAGTCCTCAAACTTGGTAAGTTGTTGTTCCTGGCTTAACTGCAAATACAAATGTGCCGATGAATGCTTATCTACGTGGAACCACAAATTTTTCGGATGAGATTTGTGAATCAACGGGTCGTTTTCAATTTTATCTTTACCCATATAAATAATGTGCTCACTATCAGTGCTGTCCAATGCAAAGTCGTCATACTCACTTTGACTTGCCACACTGGCTTTGAAGTAGTAAACCATTTTTTGCTATCAGTAGTTTACACTGGAAATGCAAGCAGAGACATCGTGTCTATGACTTACAGGGATGCCCTAGTGCGGTGCACGGATGTCACAACATCGACCTACTTTTAAATGTGCTTTGTTAGTGGACTTTGGGTCCTTTCTCCAATTCTGGAGGCAGGCTGTATGACTCAGTCGATTGGCACTATATGCTTGATTTTTCTCAGATTAGGTATTTTGAGCTGAAACAAACAGAAGAATTCCGTAATTTCATTTTTCATGAGATTTACACAGAGTTATTCAAGTTCGAGAAAAAACGTGAAATACCCTTTTTTTTTTTTTTTTTTTTTATTTATTTCATCTTTGAATCGCCGAAGTTTCCATCTGCTTCTGATAAAGTAAAAATTTGGTGGCATCAGGTTTGGTCCATGGCTTTCTACAACAAGACTTGGCTGCTCCTGCAATAGAGCCCTTTCATTTTACATACTATTATATCAAGCACAGCTCAGTCTCATTTTCTGGAAAACACTGCTTGATGAAATTTGTATGAAATCTGATTGTCTTCAGGACCAAAACATACTATATTCTTTTTTAGAATCTGTAATAAATGCTAGAGTAGAGCTTTCTTGAATCGACAAAATAAAAAACATAACTTGTATATTTACTTTTTGACATTCTTTGATTACGTCTGGGGGTGTAAAATTCCACACTTCGGGCGAGCTCCATTCCTATTTCAGAGTCCCAGCGACAAATTCAATTAGAAATTTAAAAGATACCCTTGCAGCTGGTATGTGTAGCCTTTAAAGTCAGAGTTTGTTTTATTGGTTTTGCAAGGGCTATTTGAACACAACCTTGAAGATCTTATGCGAGGTGGAAAAAGATTGGAAGTGTTTGTTATTGAGTATCTCGAGATGTCTCTAAATTGACCATTCCACTTTTTATGAGAGGATAGTTTGGTGTGCTCAGTACAAGCTTGAGGACGTCAAGGCCAACTTCAATTTCGCATCCCGAAATTAGATGCATCCGGCCAGACTACAATTAGCGAATCAGTTAAGCCCTGTGAAAATTAGAGCTAGAATTTCAAATTTTGTTGTCAGTCTGAAAATCCTGGGACGAAATTATGGAGTTCACTCGAGTGAATCACCAAAAAGCCTAATGTATTTTATTGCCCGGCTGAAGGCTGTGTAAAAACAACTGAGCGGTAATAAGAGAAAAGCCCCATGGCGCTCTGGTATATGGCGTTTTATTTTCAACTCCGAATTATTATGGGAACAGGTTTAGTGCGGAATGTGAGATAGGCTTCAGCTGCTCCTCATCAGTGAGGAGCCGTTGTTGGCGACACTTGGATCTCTTGGCTTACAAAAATACAGATGTATTATTTTGATTGACTTTCCTTTCAAGTATGGCGAGTGCATTTTTGAGTACAACCCCCCCTTCTGTAAGATATCGTCTTCCTTTTCCAAACAAAAAAAAAAAACTTCGGCAGTTTGTAAGAGATCATAAATTTGCACAGAAAACGGTGGAAAAAGCCATGCGAGGCTTGGTTTGTTTCAAGGCGACCCGTTGTATTCCATGGTAACCTTCAAAGTAGCGCGAGCCACAAGGGGGGGTTGCTCGGGCCTTGTCCGGTATGGAGTGCTTTCCAATACACGTGCCTTCTTGAATAATGGTTCTTAACCCGCCCACATTGGATTCCCCAAGACCCATACTACCTCTCAAACCTTATACCTTTGCTGTAGAACTAAAGGTGCCACTTAGAGCCGTTCTGGTAGTCTGGTGCAAAATTCAAAGGAGAATTTATGACAACATCAGGTGCGCACCGGGGCTTCGCAACTTTCGATATATATAGGTAGGCTGTGCAGAGACTGTAGCGTGTGCCTGGACTGAACCTGCTAGATGCAACAGAGTTCAGCCCAAATCCCAAGCCTAGTTCGCAACTTTGTTAACTGCGGTAGGAGGGTTACCTTTTTTGAAAAAAAAAAAATACTTTGACTCACGCATGGTGCTGAAAATAGGGCATGCTAATACCAGCACCGCATCGCCCACGGAAATTACATGCGTTTGCTGAGGGTGAGCACTTTCATTACGGCCAGGGGAAATGGTGGATATTCAATTCAGAAAAAAAAACTGATACTCTATGTTGGCGTTGATTGTTGCAATTCTCTGCAAAGTAGTCCATTAATGAGTGTCTTCTTTTGGGCGTGGGCTTGAGTTTTCAGGCGCGCCCTCTAGGAAGTCGCGCGCTTGGTGGCTGCTGTTTTTATCCCACTTGTCGGCACACAAGCTTACGTGGGCGGGTACTACCAAGGCTGACAACGATGTTCTTTGTTCCGATGGTCTAAATTTAGACAACCCTGCCAAACATGCCCTTGGTATTGCTCAGTTTTGGGACTTGCCTATATAAGAATGGTGAATCCTCGCATGATTTGATAGCCCCTTAGTACCATAAACAACAGCGCAATGAAAACCACCACTTTCGTTTTGACTGCTCTTGCTGCCATTGCGGCTTCTGCCGAGGCCATTGTCTCCACTGGAAAGAGCGCCTTGGAATCTACTGCTGAAACAGCTTCCATAGCAACTACTACAGATGCTACCACGCTGACCACTTCGCAAGGTTGGTCCAACGTAACGGTGGTTACCGCTGATGTTACTGTTACCGACTACACCACTTATTGTCCTGAGACCACCGTTGTAACAGTCACCACATGCAGCAATGACCAGTGTGCTCCCACGACCGTGACTGTCAGTGAGGCAACCACTTTGACTTTCTCTGGTGAATGTGTAGTCCCAACTACCGTTTCCACTGCTGACGCGGCTGTCAGCACCACAAGCACCACAAACACTGCTGGAACCACTGTTGTGACTGTTGATGTCACTGTGACCGACTACACCACTTACTGCCCTGCGTCCACCGTTGTAACAGTCACCACGTGCAGCAATGATCAGTGTGCTCCCACGACCGTGACTGTCAGTGAGGCAACCACTTTGACTGTAACTGGTGAATGTGTAGTTGAATCAACGCTCACAACTGCAGCTAGTTCCACGCTCGGCAGCAACTTCTCCACAGTCTCGGAGTTTAGCTCTGCTTTTATCACGCAAGCCAGCTCCACTCTTGTGACGCAGATCAGTTCCTCTCTCGAGTCTACGACAATCGGCCTGTCTAACTCTTCCTCAATTACTACTTATGAAGATGGTGCAGGGAAAGCTGCTATTGGTGCTGCTGGCTTAGTGGGTGTTGTTGCCTTCTTGATTTAGAATTGAACAGAATATATAGTGTATGAACATTATCTTTTACAAAGATTTCAGGCTAATCGACTCTTCAGAGTGTTGTATGTGACTAATTGATTTGTAGATATCATGACAACACCTAGGGCTTTATTCTAACCCTCATTCTGTCCATTCATACAAGATCAAGGCTGGACCATTTTGTATATGATTATGACGTTGCTTTGAGTGAAGAATATGATTTATGGTGCTTTCTGTAGCTAACGTATTGTTTCATGAATTAGTCAATCATGCTTGACACGGAATCCGAGGCCGACGCCAGCAGTGCTTTCATTCGTTTTACCTGAAGAATATTTTGACATTGGCTTCTTTCGACATGTGGAATACGTATTCTTTTTCCAAAACCGAAACGGAATCATCATATGGCAATGCCCCCTTAGAGATGATCAAACTGCCCGTTATGTCCTTTGCTTTTCCGGTCGCAAGCGGCAGAAGATTCACGTTCAAAGATGACTTATGGTGTAGTTTCACGTAAAAGTCGGTGATTCTGAACACTGGGTCTGAAGGATTTGACGAGCTCAAGTCTATTAAGGAGCTGTCAGTGTTCGAAACAACAAACAAAGTGTTACAGGACCGATTGATGTTTTGAAGATGGTGTATCAAGTCATTGCTCAAAATGTGAGTTGCTGCTAGGAGTATTTCCGGTGAATGTACAATCACCACCTTGTTGCCGTTGGGATCCGCCTGTAATTTTTTCGTGATTTGTGAGAACATATCCCCGACCTCATTCTTGGCTTCGCTTGGGTGGGTTATAATTTTGGAGAAAAGATCCTGAAAACAGTCCACGAAATGGAAATCACTCGCCGTTCCCAAGTCTAATCCCAGTTTTCGGCAATTTTTGATAAGAAATTCTTCCGTATGGAGGAATGATACGTATGTCACCAGCGCTTTTGGGGTGAGTGTTGGACTCAAGTCTCGGTTCACCAGACTAGCAGTTCCAACTAAACAGGTCTCAATCAAGGAATGGACTAGCCAGGCAGGTTGCGTGCTATCCGAATGAGTGATCACGTGCAACACATGGTTGTGAGGCGCAAAGGACTTCTCAGATATAAGGCTGTTATCGTCAAAAAACACAAGGTCTTGTTGTTGCCTGGACATGCTATTTGATATGGAGTAAAGAGCGATGACCTCTGCAGATGGCATGCGAGAATGCGCGAGGTCGGTGGTGCAAATTACGACATTGAGTGAGGCACCCAACTCACTCAGGGCGCAGGAACAGACAGTCTACGAAAACGTGTTCCGGTGCATGCGTATAAAGAACATTACAAGGACAGGAAAAAGCTATAACCAAAAGAGATCGAGAGTCGCGACAAGTGCATATGTAATTTTTTTTTGGAGACCCGGAGTATCAAGAATGTTTTTGCTTCTCACTGGCACACTAGCCTTGTCGCTCAGTAAATATTTGTCAGGGGTTCCTCTCCACCAGAGAATAATTCATACATAGTACGGGTGCCAAGCTTTGCTAGGTCACGTGTCTCGTCCACAATGATTCTTCGGAGTGCACTTAGCGGAAGAAAATCAGAAAAAACTTGCTTTTTATGGCTTGGTCTTCCCGGGGTTTTTTAAGCGCAGGATATGTTTCGGCTATCAGATCGTCGCCCGCGTTTCTCAGTTTCAATTAGCTGTATGAACGTTATCGAGTCGCGAATGCAGGATATGCCGTTTATCTTCACTGTATTCGCTTCCGATTTAGTAAAAAAGTCGCGAGCCCTCGCGAATTTTTGGCCAAAGTGGATTGGTGATGTTCACCAAACAACGCTTATCCGCCACTTGCAAAAGATAAGACATGTAGGTCGAACAATCTACTTAAACGCCTGGTTTACGAAGAAATCAACTTGCTTTACCGAAAACTTAAATACCACCGCAGCCCGGCATATTCTCCTCTCTAGGTTCTCGAATCACATCTCCTCACTAGTTTGCTCGGATCACGTCTCCTCTCTAACATTATTCATTGTATAGAGATGACAAGTTTGAGCCAAATGTCCTCAAATGCGCTTTTGAGTGCCAGAAGCACTCTCGAGGAGCAGACTCTGTCTTTTGTTGCAGCAGATATGGTGTACATCCTATTCTGTTCTTTTGGTGTGTTCTTGATTACCCCTGCTATTGGATTGTTTTACGGTGGCACGATCAGGCGCAAGAACATTGTCCAGATACTCTTCCAGTCATACATGACAACTTCCGTGATTGTCATTTTGTGGTACCTAATCGGATATTCTTTGGCTGTTTCTCCCACATCTACTTCGAAGTTGTTGGGGGATTTTAATAACGCAGCATTATACAACGACGAAGCCAAGCCGGTGTCAGAAGGCGGAAACCTTCCTTCTGTGGTGAACTTCTGCTTCAACGTTTTTTTTCCTGTTGCTACAATGCAAATTTTTGTTGGTGCAATTGGTGAAAGAGGTCGCTTCTTACCCTCAATTGTCGTGGGTATTATCTGGACTATCGTGTGCTACTGTCCTTTCGCATACTGGGTGTGGGCCCCACAAGGCTGGTTGTATCAGCTTGGTGCGTTGGACTTTGCCGGAGGCGGTCCTGTTCATATTGCTTCTGGTATTGCTTCTCTTTGTTACTCCTGGTTCTTGGGCCCAAGAGGTCAACCGGGTAAAAGGACTGGCTCGATCTTCGAGCCAAGGGGACACTCTTCTGTGACGACTTTCATTGGTGTGACACTTATTTGGGCTGCTTGGCTTTGTTTCAACTCGGGCACTCTTCTTACAGTCAACGTGAGGACTGGATATATCTTTTTGAACACAATCCTCGCTTCTTGTTTTGCTTGTGTCGCTTACGCTGGAACTGATAAAATCTTGACCGGCAAATATTCATTAAAAGCGGCCTGCGAAGGAACAATCGTGGGTTTGGTTAATATTACCCCATCATGTGGTTACTACTGGCCCTGGGCTGCAGCACTTACGTCTATTATTAATGGTGTCTTGTGCAGACTCCTTGTCGGGTTTAATCACTGGGTTGGAATTGATGATTACAGTGTTTCAGGAGTTGTTCATGGGTTTGGTGGTATCATTGCTGACACATTGACCGGTATTTTTGCCTCCAAAACTGTTGCAGGATACGACGGGGTCACAGAAATTGATGGAGGCTGGATTGATGGTAATTTCAAACAAATTGGGCTCCAAATAGCTTCTTGGACCTCTGTAGTAGCTTGGACGTTTGTTTTCACGATGATTATCATGTTTATTGTTGACAAAATTCCTGGGTTGCATCTAAGAGCAACTTCTGAGGCTGAGGAAATGGGCATGGACTTGTTTGAAATGGCTGAGACACTAGACGAGTTTGGTAACGACTACGAGGATTTCTTCCGTGAGAATGCAACTAAATGGAAGGCTATTCTTCATCATTATGAGGACAGCGTGGAGATTTTAGAAGGCCAATCTGTAAGTCAGGGCTCCGTAAATCATGTGCATCTTGTAAACAGGGAAAAGGTGTAACAAAGCATATATATTTAAAATACATCATTTTGAGGGAATTTAAGAAGATTTTAAAGTACAGAATAAATCTCCGTTACCCCTTTGTTTTTTTGAACCCTCAGATTATGTCATGGGACTAGGATCATGCATCTAAGTAATACTTTTGACTTTTTTCGTACATAAATAATTGGATTCAACATGCATGGATAAACCTTTAACATTACAGTGATGTGAACTCATGCTTTCGAGGTTCATACCAAAACAATTGCTGATTTTATCATTTTCTTATTTTATAAGCATGCCCTCTTGCAGTGTCCTCGAATGTTTCTTTTAGCTTCCATTTTTGCAAGATAATTATCGACAATTGAGGATAGCATAGGCTTATTTGTATCTTTCGCACCAAGTTTGTGTTTACTATCGACTGACCGTGTTCTATAAGTGAACAACCCCGTTTACTGCGCTCTATTTATGTCAAAGAATGACATAAATTTTAAAGAAAGTAATTGAAATTGTTGCGATTTTTTATTGTATAGTTGGGTCAAGTTTGTGAGGATATTGCTGAAAGTTTTTAGCCCAGATTCGGATACCTCCGTGTAAACAATGTGACATGATTCATTTCTTGAAGAAAAATGGCCTTGATGCTCTTTGCTTCTGCAAAAAAGGAGAAAGACCACAAGATTCATCGAGTGGCTCAAGAGGATAGGAACAGCATTATTTCTCATTATTTGAATCTGCTTAGAAAATAGAAATAATCAATATACTCTCTAATTTATATTAGGAGAACAATCGTACTAGATTGATCTTCATAAATAAAAGTAAGTCCTTTATTGAATCTCTGAATATACTATTCCAACTAAAACTACACGGTTGAGGCTTCATTAAGAATATTTTTTTTTAAATAAATCCTAAACAAGTGCATACTATTGAGTTCAAAAGTTTGTGGCAGATACCTGCTGAAATCTTATAGAGTACTACACTGACCATTTTGGATAGTGCATACTTTTGAGACTTGTTTAAACAGAAAGAATGACAGCAGATCTTTAAATCCAAAATTTCAATATTTAAAAGCGACGTTGATCACACTTTCCTCGGTAGTGTTTGATATATCTACTTCTTTTCAGAGTCTTCGTAAATATCGTCGTTGAGAGAAGGCGAGAGATGACTCTTTAGTCCTTCGATGAGCACCGCACCAGATCTCCCATGCGAGATATATTCATCAATATTTGGTCTTGGCCCGGTGTACCATTTGTGAGCGTCAACAAGAAACCAGATAGTAAAGATCAACATGGGCCCAAAAAATACAAGTACCGTCCAATTCATAGAATCGGGAGTCAAATTTTTGCCTGAAACTGTCGGAAAGCATAAAAATGGTATCATCACAACCACAAAGGCCACGGAAAAAACCCCAATAGGGCGTGAATATCTACCCAAGTTCCATGGGCCAGGCTGAAAGGTGTCTTGGGCATATGTAATCTTCAATAATGTTGGCATGGTAAACGAGATGAAAGACGAAATACCGCCAACGGAGAAAATTGCCCATATTGCGGTTTCACCACCAAACATCAAAAGAAGTAAGAGTTGTCCCAAAACCAAATTCATGATTACTGCATTGACTGGTGTTTTTGTGGGAGCATATACTTTTGACCACACATTGGAAAATGGAAACAAGCCGTCTCTCGAATACGCGTAGGTGACCCTGGAAGCAGCCAACATACATGAACTTCCCATGAACCAAGATGAGATAATAGTTAGTGAAGTACAAGTGACAACAAATTTCGGAGCCATAATTTGAGTCAAGTACGTGACAAATGGCTGGCCCAATTCGAGCTGGTCCTCGGAAATTAGGTCCAAACTCACAGCCGTGTACGAAATTGCCAAAACAAAAATAAAACCGATGGTCCCTCCCACGGTTGCTGTGAGACAAATAGCTCTAGGAGCAGCAACAGATGCATTTGAGCATTCTTCTGCTAAATGAAAAGGTGAATCATACCCAGACATTGCCCAAATAACACCAAGAAATGATACCAACATGGCTACGCCAGTAGGAAAGTCTGTTTGGTTCGTGAGACCCCAAGCTTTGGAATTACTATTGAATTTGGGAATAGCACCGTCATACATGTCTAATCTGTCATTGCATGCAAAAATTATGACAAACACAATGATTAAGAATATCATGTTGATTAGTGTCCCAATATTATTGAATTGGGCCAAGTATTTTGTCGGCATACATGAGATGATAGCATGCATAATCATTATCGCAGTGGTAAGTGCATAGTAAACTCCAGTTGACGCAACATATCCACTCCTGTACGATGCCAACGATAAAATGAAACAAGCACCTGAATAGTTTACCGAGGGAGCTGCAGTGATCTGACACATCCAGTTGGAAAAACTGGTGGTCCAAGTCAAAAATGGAGCCCATTTTTTAGGAGCCAATTGAGACACTGCATAGGGAGTACCTGCGGACGTAGGAAATGCAGAAGCAATCTCAGCCATGGAGTACGCTACTGAAGTAACGCCAATCATTCCAAGTATCCAAGGAACAGGTGATATTCCAATAACAAGCTGTTGGTATTCAAATGTTGCTGCAATAGAGGGAAGCAAGCCTAAAACCGAAAAAGACACAGCAAAAACTGAGAAGGCACCAAATTTACGGTCCAATTCTTGCTTATATCCCAAAGCCAAAATTTGGGCCTCATCACTATCAACCTGGTGGTCCACATTCAATACAATCTGCTGGTTCGAGAGTACTGATTGCACTCTCAAATCATCAACTTTAATACATGAGACCACCGGTTTGATTTCAAGATTTTTTTGATTCATTTCAGCTGACGGATATTCCTTGCTTCAATAATGGACCCAACGTGAGCACTAAGGTCGATGATGACAATGGAATCTGAGAGATCTCTTCTTCAAAAAAGTTATAAAGAAACAAATTTAGTCCACAGTATCTCCTTAAAAAAATGGAGGAAATGCAAATCTATTTATATATGTACCATGAAATATCGTACGCCCGAAAGAGATTGCTGCAATCAGAAAGTCTTTGCAAGACGTCTCTAGCTGATAAGGACAATACTGTATGTACATTCTGCACATAATATTACCAGTGGGCACTGCGTCGAAGAATCTTTGATAATCTCAATTAAGCTATTGGATGCGTCTGGTAGCGGAGTGCAAGACACGAAGGGAAGAGGAGATAAGTACCCGCTCTGTATAATTTGCACCATACTTCGAGCATGTTCTAATGAGCTACATAATTATACCTCACATAGTATAATAATCATGGTATAATAATAAGAAAAATAATGTTACTGTTCTTTATGGAAGATTGCAAACTCATTTGACCATGTCCTCATCGAAAATGGTATCTGCAGTATAGCGCATTCGTGGAATCCTTTACCCATTTTAATCCAACGCTCAACTCGGACCGTTTTGTCATTAGTACACAAGTATAGAGCTTCCTTCAAATACTTGTCAAGACCTAGTTCTTGGCATAATGTGCAAACACAACATCACTTTTGTATATCGAGCCTAACGTATGACACATAGATATCTTTTCGGTATGTCATCAATAACTTGAACCAATGATCAAGAGGCGCAAGACAGATATATGATACTACGGGTGCAGATATCTTCGGGTGGCTCCAAGCTATTTTACACCCGTACATCCACGATATGAATTCGCAATAGGATTGATATATACACGCGTCAACTTGTCCGAGCGAAGCGACATAAGTTTTCCCTCCAAACATTCATGGTCAATTAGTCAATATCTCATGGACTTGTCTTCAGTTTTGCCTGAAGGCCTGACGTATACAGCCTTATGTTTTCGCACCAATGCTTACCAATGCAAACCATTACTAATATCGCGTGAAAAACCGCTTACCTTGAAAGTAAAACACATGTTTCTATTGCTGGAAAAGGAATCAAACGTTATTATTTTTGGCATCGAGGTGTATGTGTATCTAACTTTTCATGGAAAGAAATTGGAACGTCATGTCTTTATACTGAAAGCGGATACAACAGGATTAGGCAATCATCGTATATCTATGGCGTCTGTCACTAAATGTTTTCTACGATATCTTATAAGTATCAACCCAAAGGTTTACTTAGATAAAGCCACATACAGATCTTCCAACAACAATCATAATGCTCTTCACAGCAATGAGTTGTTATCCACTATAAATATGAGTGATGATTATAGAAGTGGGAATGATACACAGAACCTGCAAGTCATTCAAGATTTACGAGCATGGAGTAGAAAACTCAAGCAGAACCCACACTTAATAACCGATTTCTTGAGAAAAGATGATGATAATGGTATACATCCTTCTTCTGACCTCCCTGTTATAATGCCTGTTTCAATGAGTTCAAAGATCTCACTATTTACTCGATCTGCTGACGCATACTTATTTCCAGAATCTCAAAACAACAAAGGAAAACACAATATCAATGGCAATACCTTATTTAAATGGTGGATATCTATATTGAAAGATACTCTAGATCAGTCCTGGGTATGCAAAGTAGACATTCCAGGATCAGACCACGTTTCTGTTCGTAAATTTTTACCCGAAGCTTCCAATTGGGATATTGGAAATATCCATGTGAGTGACCGTTTGAAAGACCGGGCGGTATACACAATTCCCTTACTTCCTGACGATCCTAAAGGCAGGTTTTTGGAACACTTGATTGTTGAAAACAGATATAAGTCTTTGACTACAAAGCAATTCTGGAATGAACTAGGGTTTCGACAAGAGTTTCGTTTGGGAAATGTAGTTGGGATAATTGGATGCTTTAAAGAATGTGAGTCATTAGAAGGAACCATAGAGGACCCTCGAACCTCATTATTGCGCCCCAGACAGTACAAGAAGATAAGGGAAGTGATTAAGGGTGAAAATTACAACCAGATAAACGATGTTCTGAATTTGTGGAGCTCTGGAATTCCTGAACTAGCTGCTAGATTGAAGCTCTCCTTAAGGTTTGTCTCTATTTTGGGAACTTTGTCTTCAGTTGATAATGTAGATCACGGCAAAGAAAATCTAAGAAAAGTTCTGTCTCTCGTGAATGTTCTTAATGTCAAAAAGAAGTCGGCACCTGTCAACAATCTTAACACCTTGGTAAAGAGGAAGAAAACGCAGTAATTTGGTAGTCACCTCTCAATACCGGAAACAAAACTGCTTTCGTAACATAGTTCGAAGACTTTGTGTCATAGGGGCGTGAAAATGACCCTTGAGTCAACATAAGCATGGGCCACGCGACTTTGAAATCGATTTATACTCAGAATAAAATTCATAGGTCTGATAGATTAACTTCATTGGATAATCAAAACAGGTTTTTGTTAATTTTGGAAGTGATGGGAAAGGTATTTTTGTGTTTTGTGCCAATATCACACTTTACAAAAAAAAATATCACTTGGACTATCAGGCTAACACTTCTTCGGTCCATGAATTGACTCTTGTCTACTTCTTATTCATCGAAGTTATTAAAATATATCTCCAGTGTAAAAGAATTTGAAAACGAAGGGAGATATATGCGACATCCACTATTTAAGAGAAGAAAATCTGGGATCCAAAGTTTGCTAAGAAGGATGTGACACGACACCCTTCCTCGATAAGTATTAATTACCCAAAAGGAAAAAAGACCGGGAGTTGTCATTTGAATCATAATCAAGATACTTTCAAGTCGGTGTTTGGTGTCGTTCATGAACGAAATTTTAATAACTCCGACCAGATATATCCGACAGGTTAGTAGTCTAAACTCGTTTATCCCCTTCTAATTCAAATCTGGAGAAATTGAAATAAACAAGAAAAAAAAAATTACCATACGTGTTTCAAAACTGGACGCCCACCTAATAATATATAGTCACGCAAGTTCGCTCGTAGCTCAACTTCACATTGTTAAACCCTAAGGCAATCTGTTCCAGGCAAGGCATTTTACTCGGGGAATTTCACAGTAGAAAAAATGTAAGTGATTTCGCCCAGGATCGAACTGGGGACGTTCTGCGTGTTAAGCAGATGCCATAACCAACTAGACCACGAAACCATTTACAATGTCTTTTTGGTCCCGAAAATTTATCAAATGAACGTTAGTAAAGAAAGAGTGATTAATTGCAACACAATCATAGCAAAAGTTTTGATTATTTGTTTAGGTAATTTGCAGGAGTAAAATTTTCAAAACATTGTGCACTTCTGGTGTCAAAAGATCGGCTTTCAACCTCCAATATACTCAAGGGAGATTCTAGCTCCTTTAAATACTTCCTTTGACAATCCAAGAAGCATTAGGTGGTTTGTTAAAATTGTTCGTTGAGTTTATTTGCTTCAGGAGGCAGAGACAAATGTATATCTTGCCACCTTGTCAATGAACTATGGTCACCGGCCTTAGGAATACACCTCCTATAATACGATGGCAATTAGTTAATATTATTCAAGTGGTTGACATTGGTTATGGGCAGATGTCTTTTTGAGGGTTGGGAGATTTCGTGAATTGGTGCTCGCGCCTTCTTCCACGATTCAAAGTTGCGATCTTTTTAGGTTTTTTCTTTACAGTTTTTCGTTAGTGGTGGGGTTTTACATCCCTCCACTGACGCCCCATAATAAGATGAATCTTAAAAAAATGTACGACATAGATGCGTACCGTCTACGTCGTGATGATAGAATGGGAAATGCCGAGTTTCGATGCTAGGTACGGATCTGGGAGCTGTTTAAAGGTTTTTTTAATTATAAAATTGTTGCTTTGAGTTTTCGTTTGGGGAAATGATTGATGATTAAGAGATCCCATAATAAATAAATATTTAAGTTTTAAAGAAGTACTAGATTGTATATGTATAAAAAAAATGACTAATCCCCTCACCTACAATTTGGAAATTGATTTGTGCAGGATATCCCCAACATACTTGTGACGATGTATTAGCCAAACTGTAAGCGTTGGTACTACCCCGCCGGTCCCACCCCGCCGGTCCCACATTCCAAATAGTCAATTCATGGAATTTAAGAATGACATCGAAATTAAATCCAATGTCCTTCTAGATTGCACCAGACCTTTGAGACGCCTTACATATCAATTCCTCTTTCACTTTTAAGATTCTCTTCATTCCGAAATGATAAAAAGTTAACGCACGAGATCAGATTAATTTCATAAGTCCCTCCATTCAATTTCATCACTTATGTCCAAGTCTAGTCAAAGGAAGTGAACTCTGGTTCTTAGCCACTTGTTTTGAGCATCAGTTCAATCAGTACAGCTTGATCATAGAAATCTCTAAAGTGGAACCTGTCTTTTTCTTATTTTAATACTGAGTCCCACATTTTAAGAATTATCTGTTTTCAAAAGAATCTTAAGCATTCAACTCTTTGTATCATAAGTACCGCTTGAACAATAAGACAGAATGGCCAGAAACATACTCCTCTTTGCATGTGATAGAGTTCTTTGTCATTTTCACGTCACACATACCCAGCTACTCCTTAGAAAAGTCACAAAAGCTACATGTTGATCAAAAATTTGATGCGTTGGTCTATCGAATACATCATATGATTCTTATCTAGGAAAAGGTTGTAACAAATGACGAATTTTCGATAGGTGAACACTGCTTGGAAGCTTAACTGGAATATTTATCATTAAACACCACAGTAGTATATGTGCTAATTCAAACGCAATCTTTTTAAAGACTTGGTAATCTGAAGCAGTGTGAAACTTCAACTGGCTCTGATCGCAGCCCTCTTGTAAGCAGCAACCGATCTTTTACAATGTTTTCGCAGAAATGATGTCCTTTTAAGCCCAAAAAACTAACGGATGACATCAAGAAAATTCAAAGTGGTTTTTTCAAACATTTATAATGAAGCAAGCCGAATATGAAAAAAAAAAAAATCTGAGAACTGATTCTTAGATGGCGGTTGTTCATATCCAACTTGATATCCCAGGTTGTTTTTTTTTTTAAAAAATTCGGACAGGTCGAATTCTTTGGGAATTCCAAAACTATCCTAGGAATGAATTCATAGTCTATGATTACCGCTGGGCGGTGGTAGTGATGTCTTTCGAAATTCTACTCCAGTTTTTGCTTTCCTGAATATGCGAAGCACATGCGCTCGCACGCGGTATACGTGGGTTGCTCCATAATACTAAATTTAGCTGATACGATTGTTGCTTACTTCGCAACATGAGCTTTATTATCGACAATAGTCGGAATGCATATAGGCTTTTTTGTACTTCAATGACTCGATCCATTTATCCAGCCATCATACTTTAGCGTAGCTCTATGCATGCAACAGCAAAGAAAAGCCCGCACTAGCCATACAGGCATCTTACATCATAGCAATATTGCCAAACAAATGACTGGGAGCGACTTCCGCAGCTTAATATTGCTACGTTCAAACACATATAATAAGGCCAAGCATTCCTATGTCTTAAAAATTCTCCTTAAAAACTATAATTATATCTTCAAACATGTTCCGCCAAATTGCCTCCAGAACCATTGCTCCTCTCTCTGCTAGAGTCTCTCCAAACGCGAGATACCTTTCATATTCTCGTGTGAATCTCAGTGTAGTCGACACTGCCAAAGACATATTGCACAAAGCCAACAAAAAGACCGGTGAAGTGCTAGCTAACACCATTGACACGACCGAAAAAGTCACACCTTCTGGTGAACAAGTGAAAGACGCTGCAACCAACGCTGCTTCGGCTGCAAATCAAAAGGCAGGAGATGTTTTGGCAGATGGTATTGAAAAGGCCGAAGACATTAGCCACAAGGCCAAACAAACTGCCACTGACGCTAACTTGGGAGAGAAGGCAAAGGATGCTGCTCAAAGTGCAAACAAATCTGCAGAGAACCTTTCTTCGAAGGCAAAAGAGGGCGCAGAGAATATCTCCGAAAAGACTAAGGAAGGTGCACAACAGTTTTCCCATAAAGCGAAGGAAACCACCATTGACATGAAGGATCATGCGAACGCAAAGAAGAAGGTCCTTGAAAACGCTAGGGGTTACGAAAACTTGCAGGACAAGGGTTCTAAGGTGGAGACTGAGCAAAACCGTCCTGATGATGCCGTTTAGATTCGCTTTAAGACCAAATTTATACACCTCCCAAAATAAACAACACTGTTGAGATTATTTGGTATGTAGATAGCCGCAGAAAAACATCTAGATACCTTTCAAGATTTTATCGATAGTGTTATGCTAAGAATATTGATGAAATGTGTGGGTCGATGTCGCCATTAAACTCTATGGATCAATGATGTCATGTGTACTGATGATGGCGATCCTTAGGTTGTTGAAAAGCCGTCCGCGAAGCTCACTTTCTTTGAAGAGTCCACATTGACAGGGGTGATTTGGGGAGCTGCCTCTACCTGTTTCACGGATTTTCTCTCAATGATGGATAAAAAATTCAGCGGAACATACCCAACTTTGCCTGTGCGAGATCTGACTTTCCACCACTTGCTCTCGTTTCCGAGAGGGTCAAGTTTTGACAAGATTGCAACAAGCTCCTTGGCCTTCAACTCAATCTCTATGTTGGGATTTTCGGGGTTGAACTCGTACAAAGCCTTTGCAAATTCCAATGATTCTGGGTCAATAGGTCCACGAGTGCCAGCAGCCATGCCCTGTTGATCTTGAAGTCTTCTCTGTTGTTGCCTTTGCTGTTGCATATTAAGCGTCTGTATCGCCTTACTCAAGAGATAAGGAAATCCAATAGAGGCGGCCAAGAAAACTAGTAATGGTTTAAAGGATATCCGGGCAGGTTTTCCCGCACTGGCTTGCTGTCGTCTAATCTTGTCCTCGAGTTTCTTTTGCTTCAATTCAAACTTGCTGAACTCTTTTAGACTTATGCCGTGATTGTATGGCCTCCCTGTAATCTTGAAGAATATTCTTTTCGCGAACTTGATCACCGCAAAAATCCCAAGCAAGGAACCAAGGGTATTTTTTAGGTTTCCAAACTGCTCGGCCAATGATACCATTGTGAAGAAAGACGAATGCGTGGCCATGTATGTTGCTTCAAGCATCTGTGCAAAGCCGCCGACAGCTCCGATGATCGACTCAATGAGCTGGAACGTCGCCTGTGTGCCCTCCGCCAAACCACCTGGACCGTTCATTCCGTTCATACCGTTCATTCCATTTTGGCCATACATCCCACCACCGAAGCTTGAGCCATACATACCTGACCCATATCCGCCGTGCATGCTGGAGCCGTATCCTCCATATCCACCGTACATTCCTGATCCGTATCCACTTCCATACATCGAGGACCCATATCCACTGCCGTACATAGATGAGCCATATCCTCCGCTATACCTGGAGTTTCCATATCCACCACCATAATTACCAGCTCCGTATGAAGACGACATACCGCCGGCGCCAAATCCCATGGTATTGTCTTGCTCTAAGATCGAGGTGGGCCGTTCTGGAATGATTGCCGAGGATGTACCTAAGGAGCCCGGGGAATCTGTGGCTGCATTTGACGCAGCAGAAGTGCCACTAGAAGTTTCCCATGGCTTCGTCCGCGGGACTGACATCGAGCTTTGAATATTTACTAGTAAGCGTTGGTGAGCTTGGCTTGGGGCAGAAGGACTTTTTTCCTCAAACAGTCAGGCTTGACAAATCGTGTGTCTGTATGCAGGTGTGGGGGTTTCACGTGACTCTTTTCCTTTGATTTGTGCCGCGGGTAGTATGCACCAGTCGCCCAGTGCAGGAGTACTTGTTCATGTTACTTTTCATTTTCCTTCGCGTATCAAAGCTAGCTATGGAAGTGGTTCCAGCGAACTACTTAAGCGGTTGAGATGGATATAAACATCTGTTCCATAACCCTCCATTGAGATCAACTTCAAGTCACCTCCGAAATATTGCGCATATAGTCTCGAAATCGGTAAACCGTACCCGAACCCCGCCATGGGTGCTTTAAACGTAGTTTGGTTGAATTCGGCATCCAAGGTTGGCGTTTTGTCCACAGTTGTGTACAAGTACGTCCAGATCAAGGGAATTTCACTGCGAGCAATACCCCCTCCTTCATCCGAAATTTTGATGGCGATGTCCTCACTTCCTTCTGAAATGATCACCTTGATTGGGGGGAACTTCAAATCATTTAAATCAATATCCTCTGGTTTCAATTCGGGGTTTTCTTCAATGAGCTTTTGCTTGAGCAAAGGAATATGGAATTCAATTGTTGCTCGAAGTGAGTTCTTCAAGACCTCAAAAAGCATGTGAATTAAATGCCCTGGGACGTACATGAAGTTCACCAGCTCTTGTGGCGCAATCAATTGAACTTCAGGTGCTTCAAATAGCCCATAATAGTCTTCACAGATATACTTAGCCGTTTCCAAGGCGTCTTCGGCAATCTCCTTGACGTTGCATTCGGTGGAAATCACACCTACGTAATGAGAGTTTGCTCCCTTCCCCTGACTAGAACCATTTGACCCATTGAAAAATTTGGAGATTTTCTGTCTGGTCGGCAGAGCTTGTGCCATATTGAGTGCAATGTGTTGGCCAATAAGCATCCGGATTCCAATTCTCAGCATGTAGAAACGATCCAAAAACGTTTGTATGGCTGAGTTCACCTGCACCAACTGATGTTCCGTCTTCCACTCTTGAACGCCCTGCGCCATGGTGGCTACTGTAGCATCATGTCTTTTCTTGATTTTGTTAAGCGCTTCAGACACCAACTTATTGTAGTCGTAAACTTCCTTAGGCCAAATTATATTCGTTGGACAAGGGTTGTAATATGTTTTCCCAAATGTGGGTGACTCTTTTCTTGACCGGGGGTTTGAGGCACTCAAAGACGAGTTGGCCTGGTACGGACGAACCACAATCCCATCGTCAGAAAACACATTGTTAACAGCTGGATTCGACTTTTGTTCCTGTGCCAAATTTGAAGAGTCCAGCAACGCGCCCGAGTCGTCTCTTGGCGGTTCGTTAGGGGAGCAGGATTGATAACTATCATGACCATATTTATTTCCGAACAATTGTTTCCGCAAGGATTCGTCAATTTTTGGCTTTGGCAATGAAGTGAGCTCCTCGAACGATTGCGCATACCAATTTTTTACTTTGATTGTGGAGGGCATTTTCAGAAGCCCAAGAGGGGCGTTTTCCAAGTCTCTGACTTTCAAGGCCAAACGAATGGGGAGCTCTTCGACAATAAACTGTGAGGCAAGAAATATCGAGCCAGGGGATGGTGAAGGACCAAATTGAACCATTTGCCTGATGCTAATGGACGTTTGCGGGTATGACGCATACTTCAAGATGTTATCTCGAAGATGCTTTGTTAGTTCCCAGCCAGTTCCCATGATTCCTGAGTTTGTGTACTGGTAAAGAAGTAATGTTCAAAAAAAAGATGGAGTATAAGTCGTATCTGATTAAGGAGCCCGTTCTGGCTGTGTCTGTTAGATACTCGCGCGGCCGAGGGTTGTGGCGAGGCCTGCGCGGTGAAAATTGCGGGGGAGTGCGAAGCTCGGGGATAGCGCCGACATTGTATGAGGGCGTGCTTGAAGATGGATCGGTTACGAACTCCGGGCACTGAGACTGGACAGAGGCTCGGATTCGAAACCTAGTCCACCGAAAAATCTTGCTCGTTGATTTGTCAATTCTATTTCTCGGCCTAAAGGAAGAAAAGGTGTGTCATTACCAGAGAAGTCTTGAGAAAACTGGGCACGCAAGTCCGGGGCCGGCCGGTCATGTGACCACCCTGAGTGGGGGTTAAGATAATCTCGTGTTAGTCATTCATCGCCCACGATAATTCTCGAATAAACCAGTCTTTGATGCAAGCAAGCTATGTATTTCGAGGAATGTAGTAGTAAATAAATCATGTACATAAATGAGTAGCATGGGGACCAACAAGAACTGCTCTGCTTTAATTGACATCGGCACTTCCACGAGAAAAAATTACGAGTGCCATTCTGCAATTGACCAGTTGCCCAAGCCAATCTCAAAACCGTGCAGTCGGTCACCTTCTCGGTCCTCCGAAGTCACGGATCCATCAATAGCAGCACCTGAAGAACTTCCAAATTTGATGGAATTAAAAATTTGACGCCAGCAGTTACCACGTCTGACTCGTGGGCTATGATTTTTTCAGGAATTCAAATCTTCCACCATGTTTTTGTCTTGGGTCCTATTATCTGAAGTCTGAAGCCTCCGGTCAGCCGGCCGTAGCATGCCACTATCCGCTACATGCAGATATGTTGCGCATGATCAGATCACTTTGTAAGACTTGCTCTTCACTTCGATTGTATTACGATGCAGGCTGAAAGGAATGATTCACACGCTCCGCGGATGTCTACATACAGTATCATCTGGAGAATGTTCGACCCCGGTGGAGCGGACTTCGGGGTAACGGAGAGGATGCGCAATTCCGAGAATCTATATATTGGTGGGGTCTGCCAACGTCTCCCTTCCTCACCTCCTCACTTCCTCATTACATTAAGCAATCCAAACAAGGAGAAATATACACTACACGCACTAGTTAACAATTTCATCACACTACAAATACATAATGCAAAGACAATTCCTCTCAGTTGCTTCCTTCAAGACTGCTTCAAAGTGCTGGCTTCCTGCGATTTCCAAACTGTCGTCTAGCAGATTCTTCTCGTTTCAGACGATGTCCGTCCAGTCCGAGGGTTCGGAACAAGAAAGCGTCAGCTTAGTTTCAAACGACAATATAATGTCCTCGCAGTCCACAACGGCCCATAGTGACGCCATTTTCGAGCCCACTATTCATTCTTCGGGGGAAGTCTACACTGCTGGTCCAGTGAATAGGGCTTGAAATGGAGAAACAGGATAAATTCAAATACGATTAATGATATAATACTTTCTATAAAATTCACAATTTCAAATACAGTTCGTAAGAGGCAGACTCTAGATTCACCCCCCACCTTCAGCCTTTCTTATCGCTCGCCCCCGCACGTGACCCAGACTATCAATTTGCTCGGACGCAGTGCCACCTTCCAAAAATACAGCTATCTCGGAAGGCCTAAACACACACACCCAAGCCCTTTCAAAGGAACCACATTTGAAAATGAGCACAAAATTGCGGATTGCTGTTGGACAGATGTGTTCATCCTCAAACGTTAGGATGAACTCACGTGTTGTTTGCAAGTTGATCGATCGTGCTGTTGAACGAAAGGCGAAAGTACTTTTTCTTCCGGAGGCATCGGACTACATCTCCAGAGACGCTGCACACTCTGTAAGTTTAGCTAAGCAAACAAAAGCAGATTTCATTAATATTATACAGAAAAAGTTACAGTCTGTCTTATCAAAGCAATCTCTGGGTGCGCTTTGCGTGGCTGTTGGGGTTCACGAGCCAACTAAGGGAGTCAATAAAGATACAAAAGTTCAAAATAATCAATTATGGATATCTGAGCTGGGAGTTATTGAGCAAAGGTACCAAAAAATTCATTTATTCGATATCAACATTCCCAATGGTCCGATTTTTCAGGAGTCAAGGTCAGTAGAGGCGGGTAATAAGATTTTGTGTCCCTTCCCAATTAGCGACAACGCTCCTGGATTCAAAGTAGGATTTTCCATTTGCTACGACATTCGCTTCCCTGAATTAGCCGCACGACTCAGACAAATGGGGGCTAATATTCTCACTTATCCTTCAGCGTTCACGACAAAAACAGGTGAGGCGCATTGGTTAGAACTAGGACGCGCCCGTGCAATTGACTCCCAATGTTATGTGGTTATGGCCGCGCAATGTGGCGAACATGATATATATGCTGACATCCTTGAAGGTAAAGAGAAGCTAGACAATAATCCTCAGGGAAACCGCACCAAGAGGGTCAGCTACGGCCAATCAGTAATCTTTGGGCCGTGGGGCGATATTTTGGCGAAAGGACCCACGTATTTGGAGGCTGAATGCAGTGATGCCGTCGATGCCGAAGGCGATTACTATGAAATTTTTGATGCAGAGATTAATTTGGAGAACTTAGAAAAGATTCGAACTAACTTGCCTGTCTTTTCTCACAGGCGACCAGATGTGTATAGTAGTTGATCAGGTCGGATTAGATCTGATAGCAAAACGTTGCCACCCGAATTTCTTGTATATCAAACAAGTGTTGCTGGTGTGATGTCAATGTGTATGTAATTGTGGTGCCATAAAATCTGAGCATTTTGATACTTAATCCAAGTCTAGATCGCCAAAACTTGCCTATATGTCAATGTTGCATACAGATGCGAAAAGATAATGAAGGGGGATACAAAAGTATCGATAAAAACAGTTCCTCGAATATGAATAACATCACGTGAGAAGATCCATTTGGAAAGAAAATGATATGAGTCTTTGGCTTAGAATCCACCTCATTCATGGACACCATAGCGGAAATACCGGACCTTCGCAACGTGAACAGATCTTCTGGTTTGAAATAACCATCCTCAAATTTGCCTCCCACCCTTAAAATAAGGGCGCGCACGTGTAATAGGAATAACTCGATATCAAAAAATGAAGCGTGTCAATTCACGCGGCTTGGCATTGCTTTTTTTTTTGCAATGATTGCCGTGAAGCCTCGCAATGTGCAAGATTTAAAAAAGTGAAGCTTTCGTACAGGATTTGAAAGAAGGCAATCATGAAAAGAACACTCCCATCCTGAAATCTTGATTGTAAAAGAGGCCTTGAATCAGATTTTGTCAAACTGTTGATATTCATTTCTGGAAGTACCAGAGAATTCGAAGGACATAGTGAGTCTTATCCTGATATGTTTTGATGGAAATACTAGGCTTGGTAGTTTGCAATGAAAATAACAAAAAATAACATCCTTGCCACTAAACAAACGTAGGCCTAGCCGCGCCGCAATGTCCAATTTTATGCCGGAGAGGGGAGACGGAGGGGTAATAATTCATTGAGTTGAATGCACTCTTTTGTTGAGCGCGCTAGCAAGGCAATGAGTAATTCGGATTAACTTTGGGAGTCGGTCCCACATCTATGCAGTATATGCTCCGCCTATCGTTCCCCTCTTATCGTATAGATATGCGACAGGGTCAGGAATAAATACTGGTCTTTTTGCCATCCAATTCCAGATCTTTTTTTTTGCTTCTCAAATCTAAACCTCATTCTTCATTTCTTAAGAAATTGCTTCAGCAGTCAAAGTCAACTTGATCCCTTCTTGGTCCCGCTGCCACTTATTAGTCTCGGGCTCCCATTCTTCGAGACTTTTCCCCCAGCCTTAACGCCCTCGCCTTTTGTGTTGAACCGTGCAATGCTCAGATTTGCCAGATTGATAACGGGCTCAGCATCCCCAACTATTACGCTTTTCCACAATACAAATTCCAAGCTCTCTCATCACTTGCTCGAGCGTTTGACCATCCACAAATCCCGCTTTTTGCTAGATGTCCGTCAGAATCGATTACCACTGTACGAAACGTACTCCTTCATCCACCAGGAGTGTATGAATGTTCATCCCCAGAACAACCGGAGTTTCGAACGCATTTTTCCAGCGTTACTTGCCTCGCCAAGTCACCTGTTTTGCAATGTTGAAGTAAAGACAAAATCAAAATTGAAACAATTCGTTCCAGACTTGGAATTGGTGAATGAGTCGTCTTATCTGGATAATATTGCTCTTCATAATGCGACAGAATTATCACCTTTCGTAGTGGACTGGGCCAACAAGTTAGTGGCTGTGGACGACGAAGGCTTAGACACCATCATGCAAAACTATTACTCGTGTGGAATGCAAAAGAGTAGTAAGGTACATTTACCTGAAGGAAGTGACTCCATACACCAAGGACCTGATTCTGGAAACAGTCCTATATTCAATTCTCCAAAGATCTCCCTTCAAGAAACTTGTGGCCCTCAATACAATCAGTCTGCTGCGGCTGCTGCTGCTGCTGCTACGGCCGCTCGTTGTGTGGTGCATCCTCACATTGCCGAGTTTGCTGACCTCTACTGAGATTCGTCTGCGTGGTACGCTTGTACATGTTGAGTCCATGAATATTGCACTACGTATCAGTGAATGTAGTGCTTTGATTAATAGAATAAGGAAATACATGGGTTCAGTATATTTTTCTTTTTTCTCATCTTCTTTTTCTTTCTTAACTTTTTCTTTTTCTCTTTTTTTTGCTTCATTTTGCTTTGTTAAATTCCCATCCTTCTTGTGACATACTCCTGTGCTAAGACGGCAAATGTCAACCCCAACCCATCTTGGATCCAATCCTTTACCCAATCACTTGGATCAACAGACTCACCGTCATCCCCCAAATGAAAAACAGAATCCACATCATCATGCCTGCCTGAAACCCATCGTGCCCATCTCAAAGGAAATGGCTGAGACTTGCTCACAATGGTAATATTATTCGTGATATCCTTCAATATCATTGTGAAAGTAAACGAGTTGCTGTTGTTACCTTCAATATAGGCGGGGCCCATATTATCTTCTTCATTGGACTGCTGGTCAACGTTGCCTGATGTGATGGGCTGTATGGAGATAAATACATTGGACTTATTGATCTCATGGTCAGTAGACTCCTCGGTGGGAATATGCAGCTTTTCTAGATCGACGATCTGTAGGTAGTGCTTAATTGAGCTTTCAAGATTGGCAAAACACAATTTCTCCCCGTCAATAGCTTTTCCGCTAAACATGCTCAATTCATAGTACTCAGAGCTTTTATTGTGTTCATTTTTATGATTGAAATTGCTAACTGTGGTCTTAATGCCACCTTCGACCTGGCTCATGACTTTATTGAATTTTGTGGCACAAAGGCTGTCCAAATAGTTGACATTGTTTAAGTCATAGACGAGAAGAATATTCATGAGCTCGTCTTCTTTATCAATTAATCCATCCCTAATTTGCTGTGACATTGTAGACAAAATTGAATTCAACTTGCCTGTAATGTGCAAAATCTGTTCGGTATCAGCGACACTGCTATTTTCAGTGAGAAATTTATGTCTTTGATTGGACAACTGATGTGAAGTATTAGACGCTATTTGTAACGTAGTTTCACTCAATTGATGAGCGTTTGAGGTTAGTGATCCCCAAAGAGATGAGACTTTGTTAGACCCTTCCGTGTTCCACCATGAAGAGATAGATGTTATTGGGTCTACTGCTTCGTCTTCCATGGAAGCCGACAATTTGGAATGATCTGTATTGCTCTTATCTTTGTCACCAACTGGTTTGTGATCCGCTTGGTCGTATGTGGACAACAGTTTTCCTGTTTCCACGTCAACATTTCGGTATTCGCTTTCATTGGAAGTTTCTTGCAGCGAAGCAGCAACAGACTTCTTATTTTGACCATTAAGATTGGATTTTTCGTCTCCCCTCTGGGGCAAGGCGCTTTCGGTTCTCTTTGGTTCAAATTTACCTTTGGAATTTCCTAACGGCTTAGTTGTTTTCTCGTGCGCACTAAGTTCGTCCAAAAATTCCAAGAATTCATCATTAGATTCAGTATTTTTGTTTATAGGTGCAGGCGTATTGGTCTTAGAATCAGGGAGAGAGTTTATGAAGTCCAAAACATCATCGGTGTCTGTACTACTCATGGTTAAAGTTTATGACAATAGTTTGGTTGCCTCAACTACGGAATAATTCAAGGAGTCTGGAGGTGCACGGGTGCTGAGAATAATCCTCGCTTCAGTGAGCTTCAAATGTTTGAGCGGTGAAAAATTTGAGGAGACTTATGCAAGTGAGTGTTCTCATTTAACATTCTAGAAATGATCAATTCAAGTTAAAGTACAGATTGTTGAATTTTTTAAAAAAAATCATTTCTTCTCTGGTAACAAACTAGTCCGAAGATGTGAAAGATGAATTTGTCAAAGACGAAATCATGTGTAATAGAGATGAATTTCATGAAGCTTCTAAAAAAACCAATTACAAATATAATAATATACAGCTCTAAAACTGGTCCAGAGAAACTTGGGTCCTCGATGATGTGTTTATTTGATTCTATGCATCATCCGGAGATCACTTGATCCTGTTAATTCAGAATCTTTGATATCGTCGTCAAGTTGATCATTTTCAAGCTTCATACAACAGATACCATTATCGCTAATCAAAAATGCTGCTTTCTTACTCTTAGTAGAAAAAAATAACAAAAAATATTTAGGAACTTTGTATCATATGTTTTGTGAGATGAAAAGCTACGAAAATAATAATTATAAAAGTGCGATACGATAAGTTAAATCGAAATTCTTCCACAAGAATCATAGATTGAGTTTTTCTTTAAGTCTTATCGCTCTAGAAGAATATTTCGAAAGTTCGTAACGGCCTAGTTTTGTTCTTGAGTATCAAGAAGCGACCACACGTATCATATCGAATTCTTGTATGTTCAAGTTTCGTGGCGCTGGAATTATCCGCAGGCAAGGCGTGCATTCTAGCTGCACCCCCCCCCTCCGCAATTGGTCGCATTCATGTATTTCTCTGATGAATTAGGTAAAAAAAAAGTGAGAGTTGAAAAATGCAGGAATACGAGAATAAAAGGATAGAGTTTAAATTGCTGGAATAAAAATATCTCATGATTGTGATGACAACTTCAATTCAGTCAGACAATGTTTCCAGATTAGGCAGATCGGAACCACTATATATTTTCAGACACCAGCTAAAGACGAACTATTTTAACATTTGAGATTGGTTCTGCGGCCTACCCAACATAAACCAAGATAAATAACGCATAATCATGTATGATTTGCACACATGCATGCAATTATCCCGAAATGGCTACACCCATACACATGTTCAAACTTGCACCAAACTCTTCGAAATTCGAGTTTAAATACTCTTTTCATCTTTATGGCCATTTTAAGTGCCAACAGCTTGCCTAAATTACACGCCATTGTATGGTATTCTTGCTTTGAGATTTATCAGAAGCACTTTTCAACTAAGCCATCCAGTATTTGTCAATGCTTCATTCCCCGGAAACTTCGTCTCCTAAACAAAAGTCGAACTGGAGAGAAAAAATTTGGCGGCTGTCAAGCTCCCCGTCAGGTAAATCATTACAGGCTCAAAATTCCTTTTTAAGGACCCCTAAAGGATCTCCCAGTATGCCTTCTCTTTCCTTCTCGCCCACTCTGACACCCGGCTCATTGAAACATAAAAATCCCGATTCTGATCGTTTTTTGACTCCGCTCGATGTTCTTGACCTGGATCATGAAATAAACACTCTTTTGGACAACCAGGTTGGTATGTTATTTGGTGACTGGAATATCCCTCCACCCCCACCAAGAAAAACGACAGGTTTAAATACAAACAAGCCTCAGCTTCTTCCCGCAAAAACAATTTCAGGGCCCAGAATAAAACCCTACTTCACAAAAGCCTCCAGACTTGACTTGAACGTCAATCAGGAAACTTGCTTTATTTGCAAAGATATTTTGGAAACAAAGCTTGACTCTGAAAAGTTGGTGCCGCTTGAGTGTGGAGATTGTGTTCACGGCGAATGCCTTCAGACAAACGTTGAAATACTACTCGAAAAATCAATCAAAAAGGGCGCCTTCAGCAGGTTCACTCACAAAAATGTAGTGGAAAGAAATGTGTTACCAGTGTGTGAAGGGAAACACTGTGAGTTAGAGGGAAAAAAGAATCAGGTCTGCCCAATATCGAAAGACATAATTTCCGATCTCATGAAAGATGTCATGTTGTCTGTGAAGTTGACGACAATATCTTCCGAAAATGAAAATTCTGATTCTTCTTCGGCTTTGACTTTCGGTACCGAAAATCGTGTCTCAAGGTACTTTTTTAAAGACAATCAACTGTTGAGACCAAAGTCAAATGCAGGTAGAGAATCACAGTACAGCTTTTCAATATTGAACGATACACGGGAGTTTATGGCTGACTCTTCCATTAGGAGTTATGGACCTCCATTCATATCCAATGAAGAGACAACCCGGCTGCTTGAAGAGATCAAGAATAAGTTTATCAAGCATATGCTTAAAAGGTATTCAAATTTCAATCTTGTGGTCTTAGTTTCTTTGGGGTCTTTGAGACTAGTCGATAAACTTCAAGTTGCATTTGGTGAGAGTCAGTTTACACTGCTAATTGTCTATCTATTTTCAAACTTCATAGTCATCGAGACTGAAGGTCCTTCCCCAAAATTGTTTCCACTTAACGAGGAGCACATCATTACAACCCCAGAGACGTCTGTGATTCAATTTGTGACAAAAAGCGGAGAGATTCCTGTTTTAAGATTGAATTCGGAGACTGATGCGATAATCGAAAAATGGGGCATAGCATTGTCCGATCATCTGCTAATACTTCCCTCAGATGTAATCACATCTTCGATTCGCATGTCTGACATAGTGGAAGAAGAATCATCAACAAATATCGTCCCGAATCAGAGAAATGTTATTGAGTTTCCATCGCAGCGAAAAAATGTCTTTAATCAGCGGGCTGGTCCAAGAATTTCAACAGTACTGAGTATCGAGCCAAAAGAAATATGGAGTGAGCGCTCGGATAACTTCGAACAAGAGCTCATGAAGATAGGTGTTTTGCCAATGTCTGTACCTTGCACTGATCTCTATGATACCAAACCAACAAGCCCTTTGAACATCATAAAACCACAAAGGGAAACCCCAAAATTACTATTCGAAAATGCTAATTCTGTTGACTCAGATTCAGAATTTGATTCGGACTCAGACTTGGAGCTAATCAGCGAGGTCATGAATAAGCAAAGACTATAATATTTTAGATCAGCTATACCTCATATATGTCAGAATGACACATCAATTGGCAGAGAATCGATTAATCTCCTGTAGTATGTTGTAGACCCAATGTTCTCGCTCTTGCCTAGATCTTGCCAAAAAAACAAGAATTTTTCCGGTGACACCCAGCTTCCGGGTCATGTGCATCATACCAGGATTTTTGAGGTCCACTTTTCCATGTATCGTGCTAGAGCTCTGACGCTTCGTGCTGTGTCGTAATGCTCGCTTACCACCGAACCAAATAGAAAAGCATCTCATGAATTCCTCCTCAGACGATCTCCATCCATCAGGATATATTCTAGGTAGATCGCACTCTCCTGGTGATTTAACTTTTTGAGAAGCGACAAGATCAAGCTGAGTGCTACTTTCAGAATAGACGTAGCACTCCGAAATTGGTATCGTCATGTATCTTTCGTAGTAAGGCGTATCTTTTTGAACGCCTGTCACTTTTGAGCGCTTGAATAGAGAATATATCAAAAGATATCCTGAACAAAGCACAACAAAGTATCGAGAAAAGCTAGAGTGCTTTTTTTGTTTTTGGTATAGATACCCAGAGCACAATACACATGTCGACATTGCTAGCCCAGAAGACGTAAATGTGATATCGTTCGCAAAAGATTTACCGACCTCAAGACTGTCGTGACCGAAAGAGAGATTTGAATCCACATAATCTCCCAGTCTTAGCTTTGCCATATTTTTAAGCTTGCTTGATGTTTCTGCTAAAGAAAGTTTAGCCATATGTGATCTCCAGTATATTGCCAACTCATTTAACCTTTCAACCCACTCATCCCTTATATTTCTCAGAGGTGCTAGCAATTTTAGTTGACTACCGTCAAAAAGCTCGATCTCGAAACCGCAATCCATGATATTCATATCATCCAAGACAACTGGACTCGAGTACCACAAATACAGCTGAAAATAAAGATGGCGGGCTTGGATTTTCTCAAAAGGTATTGCTTTCACCGCTGATATCATGCAAATATCTACCATAGCCCTCGCACCAACTATTTGACGTAGTTTTCTGGAAAACTCTTCGACAGCCTCATTATCAAATTTCTCGAAATCTGCTTTCGATAACCAGCTGATATGTTCGTGATCATCCAATTCGAAAGAAGTTTTTGGGTAAACATCAGGTAGCAGGTTGCACAAGCTTCCTTTGTCCACACCCTCTTTCAAAAGTTGATTCTGCGGCGATGGAGGCACTCCTCTGAGTAGTGATGAAAAAAATAGAATATTTTCTGAGGAGAAAAAGTATTGAATTTTGTAAAAAGAACGGAACTTGGAGTATTCTTTTCCCATGGTGTTGGTGATCCTCGAGAGGAAGCCTTCGATGGAAGTTGGGCGTGATATAACTCTCCCCTTTGTATCTTTTACAGACAAGGGAATCTTAGTCATTTGTCTGTACTCCAAAGTGGCTCCTTCACCCAAAAGTTGACTTTGTAAGACTAGCGACTTTCCATCACTGGGGATCCACTCAAGTCTGTCATAATATTTGAAGCAAAATGCAGGGGTAGAGTTTTGTTCAAGCCACTCAGAAGCAGAGTTACTGCGGTTTGCAAAAGCTCTCATATATGTACCGATTTTTGTACTCAAGTATGAAAATAGAACATCGGACTCTACTGCGTATCCAGTTGGCTGCTCGTGTAACTTCAAAAGCTCAGCCCCAGCAAGAGATTGATCAAGAAGTGGCCGAGGAACGTCAATTTTAATCTGCGTCCTCTTTCCTGCAATATCAATTTTCACAGTAGAAAAGAAATCCTCTTTAAGAACTTCCTTTATCATATAAAGCCATTTGAAAGCCACTGTTGTATACTTCATGTTCATGATAAATATTTTCAAGCCATCTTCGACGAGATTAGCAATACTGATAGTCTTGTCCGTGAGGGAGAAAAAGTCTGCACGAATGTCTTCGTTGATGTCGAAGGAATGCTCAGGTTTTTCTTCAAAATTTTTTCCTTTGTTCCTTTCAAACAACAGAACATGCAAAGGATTAACATGACTGCCGGTGTTTCTTAGCACAACAAAGTATTCTCTCCAATGGTCTTGAATGGTAGAATCTGCGTCACTCCGCTCTGTGAAAGAAAGTACTGTTGAAATGTTACTAACCTTTCGTATCATAACAAGCATTTTATCCACTCTAACAATCTCTCCAATCTTTCGTTTCTGCAATATGTTATCAACAATCTTTAGCTTGAGTTTTGAGCTGCTCAGTTGTGCTCTCCCTTTTGACTTACGAGCAAGCGTCTGCATTTTCCGCACGACACGATAGTGTTCTCGTTCGGCCAAGACGTATTCCTGTTGCAAGATTTCATTAGATGTTTTTTCTTCTGGTTGGGGGTTTGCGAACTGCACTTTAAGTTTCTTGTCGTCAGCCCTCTCAGACTTATATCGCATAGACGAAGACTCACCCAGACTTCTTTCTTTCATTGAGGACTTCTTGTGCTCCCCGAAAAGCTCTGAGCTGGCTAAATAGGGAATTGACTTTTTCACGTGAAATGTGGGCTTGTCTTTCGTAGGATATGCTCCACATTGCGAGTCCATCAGTAATTTTAGTTCATGCTTGGGTTCATCATTATTTCCTGTTGAAATATTGACATTAGCTGGGGAGATATCTTCTTGGCAGACTTCATCGTCCCTTTGCATCAATTTATCTCTTGTAATCCGGAACGATTTGGTACCTCCATCGGGGATATGTTTGTTCAGGAAATAAGGAATTTGAGTCCTAGCATGCTCGTTATATTTGAGAGAGGGAAGATCTTCTGTTGGTGTGGAATATTCCTCGTCTGAATCATCTATACTATCTTGTAAATTTTTCAAGCTATCATCTGGGGCTTTTCTGTATAGTATATCATTGAAACTTCCACTATCAAATGACATATCATCCGAGGCTGTCGAATTTGTGACTGCATTTCGTAGCACAGTCTCGTCGGATAAAAAGCTTTTTGAGGATGTTTCTTCCCAGGCATCAAATGGTAGTCTTTGCTCAGAAATATTCTCTTGAGTATTCTCAGTGACATAATTTTCGATCGGTGACGAGCCTAGACCCGTGAGCTTATTCATACGCTTCTTGAGACTCAAAGTAGTGGCCGGAATTTTCAGTCTTGCGGTACACTTATGGGATGTTGAATTCGAAAAAAGAGATGGCGCATTAGACAACTTTATCCAAGTGTCGGGCACTTTTCCAAGGAATACAGTGGAGGCTAAATGACTCACTTCAGCGGAAGTGGCATAAAGAAGTCTGAATGCAGTAAAGGATGAAGTGGGTATTTGGATGGTATTATGATCATTCTTCGTGGCATCGTGGGATTGTTGTTGCAATGAAGATGGAGAGTCCTTGACATTTTCCTGGATGCGGGCCATTGAAGCACCCAGGTGACCAAGCTGTTGTTGTTGTTGTTGTTGTTGTTTTTAATTTTGAAACCCTCGAGAGATCGGGATGCTTTTCGGGCTATGTGACATGTATGTTTTGGAACTCCACACCAAATAAACCTCTTGTCAGTCGGCTTTGCGATTCAAGCAGACTTCTACATGAGACGTGCGGCCTCGTTTCGAGACTAGTTCTAAGTGCACGCGTCCATAATAATATGCGAGGTGCGGGAACATGAATATACAATTTCTTCATGATTTCATGATGTCACACTTTCAGGCATTAAAACGACGTATTGATATGCTAAAACTAACCCAGTTCAACTGCGTATTTTTTTGCAGCTGATCTGGGGACTCTTTATCATCGTTCTTCTCAGGAGATCAGGACTTGATTCCCCTTTGTTTGATATATGCCAAGAAGCTTGATTACTAGCAAATTCTTTGGTCTCTCTTTGCCACGAGTATCCATACCGCATGGAACACATTATTATCATGAATTGTATGCTCTTACATAGAAATAGTGAAACACTCGTTTTATCACTCAAAATAAAGTGGCTGGGACAAATTACGGCATTGTAGACACGTTTGTATTTATTCGATACGATCGACTAAAAATTCGAACTCCGAAATATGGCACACCACTTTACACTACGTCTTCATCTTGAATTCCTATGGAAATCCCCTCAGGATTCATGTTTTCTGGGGGAGAAATACTAGGAATTGCCTCTAATGCAATATAAACCAACCCAACTACAAATATCAAAAGGCTCGCTAAAAGTCTGAACCAGCTGGCACCATTGATACTGGCACCAATAAGAGTGTAAACTGCAAGTTAGTACTGATAAATGCTCATAGAACCAAACTGTTCGGAAACTTATACATACAAACGCCTCGGCCCACAAATGAGAAAAGAAACAGCCCGTAAGTTTGAGCCTCAGGAGGGATCGAAAATTCTGTCTTGTTAGTGTCTGATTTGACATTTTGTCTGATTTGACATCTTTATACATCGCATCGAAGTGTGATTTACATACCAAGAATACCAACAATAGCTCCAAAGCCAATTATGTAGACACCCAAAATAAACTAAAGTTAGTACTTCATCTCGAAAACAGTCTTATAATACGCCGAAAAAACCGCTTTCTTGTAGATTGATTATTCGAAAAAGACATACAGATTGACTATTTTGTTAGTATTTCAAGTTCTGGAAGAAAGGAGTATTATTTCGGCGTACTTACATTCCACTAAATAACTGAGATAAACCGGATAGCACCTGTGTGGTTAGTATGGCAAATAGATTTTGAGCTTCTTGTTTATGTGGTACTTACGGCTAAAGATCCGACAGCCAAATTTGCAGCCTTGAAAACCACGTTCAAGTCCAGCCCGTCAAATGATTCCATAGTGTTGAAGCAGTATTCAGTTGTTACAGAGAACAGACGGAGTGAACAATTGAGGAATAAAGCAATGTGCAGTCAATCTAGCGCGTCGTCGCACCACAAATGCTATCTCGGCGCGTTTAAAAATGTATAATTTAACAAACGTAGAATTTGCACAAAGAAGAAGTACAATTCTGAAGTCAGTTGAAGGCGAGAAAGTATTTAATTATACGTGTTTGGTTACTCTAACTCTCTGGAGTCAGATATACAAGCTTCTATTTCAAATGACAAATCACGTGATCGCGATTCTTTTTTCTTCAAAACGATTTACAATCACCTCAAGAATCGTTTTCTTGACTCAGTAGCTCGAGAATGAATAAAGAAGAGAATCTTATTGAATTAGTCATCAGCCAAAATAGTGCGGACAACAACTTGAGGGTCCATGCCGAGCTAGAATTCAATAGAACAGCTGGGGAAAATCCCACTAGAACTGTTTATGAACTAATTCGGGCTTGCGCACACGATAGTTCACATCCGATAGACGTAAAACAGTCATGCTTGCTTCATTTGAAACGCTTAGTACCCAAATTTTGGTCTGCAGGATTTCAACTGTTCATCGGCCCACCCATTGAGCAAGAGACAAAGGCCTTTATTCGTGAAAGCTTGCTTCTTCTTGCAACGTCGTCGACTTCTTCGAAAATAAGATCTGGGAGTTCCTACGTAATTGTACAAATCGCAGCCGTTGACTTCCCAGACGAGTGGCCAGACCTTCTCGAGAAGATATATACACGTGCAACTGAGAATCAGAGTGTTGTATCGGTAGTGGGGAGTTTGTCCGTGCTCAATGACTTGTTTGATGATTTGATAAGCGAAAGCCAATTTTGGGAAGGAGGAGTTGGGAATAAACTTATTAGCTTTGTTGGCTATCTTCTTCAGCAACCAGGAATGTCGCCAGAAATCAAGATAAGTGCACTCAGATTACACCTCACAGTGTTAGACACTTTACTGAGTCCAGAAGCGCATGAACTGGAGGAGCGCAAGCGATCTGTCGCAAGTCATGTCAAATTTCTCAGTGAGGTTTTACTTTCACTTGTCAAGGATCTGATCAACTTGTCTTCCTCCAGTATATCTGTCGAGCTAGTACAGCTATCTCTCAGATCATACTTGTACCAAGTGTTTACAAAGATTTTGAACAGCTTTAGAAAACAATTTCTGTCGTGCGAGATCTCTGATCTTATACATGTATTGAATGAGGATATCTCATTGGGGTCTAAAGTGGTGAAACAAATTCTTGTTGACGAGGTATTGGTATCTATTTCAAAGACCGAAAATCTGGATGAACCTGAAAGGTTTGTGTCTCAATATCTCATGAGTCTTCTTGAGACTCTTTCGGCTGCACAAGGGTTTCGCAAAATATGAGAGACATTGGATTCGGCACAATTCGAGAAATTTACAGTGGCTTTATCCATGTGTGCTCAGTACCCAAAGGTAACGATGCATGATTACACAGAAGACTTTAATCTCTTTGTGACAAGTGAAACAGGATTATCTTCACAAACCACTATTCGTGACTCGATTAAAGAGCTACTTAGTGAGTTGAATGAAAGAGATGCGGTCGCAATTTTCCAATTGACTAAATTATATTTATCTCAGGGTCTGGAAAGTTGGATAGAACTAGAAGCCATGTTGTTTTTGAGTGAGGGACTTTTTTTAGATCAGGATTCGATAACTTCAGACAATGGTGTCTCTTTAACACCATATTTGGAGTCGCTTTATTCCTTGATCCTGTCGAGTAATTCCATAGAGATTCCACCATTGCTTATGGCGAGAGTCATTCTTTTGGTCCCAAGAGTATTTGGAAATTTTTCCAAGCACAACTCCGCCGATTCTCTTTGTGCAAGCTGGCTCGAAAAAATTTTTGACATTTGCACAAAAGGTCTTGTGAAAAAAGGTGATGAGTTAATTTTGGCAAGTGCCTTGATAAGCGTGACTTTGTGGAAGAGTTTAGACAATTTCGACTTGAAAAAAATGGGTTTGAAGCTTCAATCTTCGATCATGGAAACTTGCTATTTACTTCTTGATGATAGTGACGAAGATACGCTTCCCATTATTCTCGAAGCAATATCTGCTGCTATAAGCATAGACAATGTTACTATTTTCAAGTGTGAAATAGAAGAGAATCTTTCGGTTGTTGACTTGTTTTTACGGGTATCTTTTAAGGATCCTGCCAATATTCAAGTCACGATTGACTCAAGTGAATGCTTGCAGGTCTTGCTATCTAATATAGGATTGGAGACTTTCCTAGGCGTTTGTCAGAAGCTGGTCCCCTTTCTAGTGGAAGTCATTAGGACCACATTGTCTCAAAATTGCGTTCAGTATACTCCTCAATTGGATTTGGCATTAGAGTTACTAGGATACGTGATTGAAGCTTCTCCCTGTCCGAAACTCCCGAAAGACATTTTTCATTATATCTTTCCAGTGTTGAGAGACTTGATCTTGAAAGCAAGTGATGATCAAATCTTGCAGAGCGCCGGAGAGTTATTCAACAAATTGATGCAAAACAATGAGAGTTTATTCATCAAGTACTCAGATCCAGATACTGGGCAATCAGGACTAGACATTTTGCTTCATATTGCTTCAAAATTTCTTTCGTTGAATTTAAGCGACCAAGCAGCGATGAATTGTGGCTTGATAGTTATAACAATTTTCGAAAGGTTTCAGACATGTTTGAACAGTGACTTTTTCTTTCAACTCCTTGAGGCAACAGTCAGACGAGTTGCCATTGCGAAAGAAGTTCTCACAGTCGAAAATCTAATTTTAGTATTTTGCAACCTAGCGCTCAACACAGCTACTCATCTTATGATTGACGCTCTCATAAGTATGCAAATAAGTGATTCATCTGGAAACTTGCAAGATGGCTTGAGAACGGTTTTACCCATTTGGTTTGAGTCGTTTGAAGTGACGAGAGGTGTTGAAAAAATTCAAAAGAACATACTCGCGTTGGGCAGAATCTTCTCACTTGGAGACCCAAGAGTTGAAAGCATCAAAGTGAATGGTGATTTGATACCATATGACGGTGATCTCATAATCACAAGGTCTATGGCGAAGTCAATGCCGCAAAAATTTACGCGAATTTCAGCTTCACAGAAAATTTTAAAGTTGTTAGTAAGTGAACTCAGGTTCCAGTCTCTGCAGCCCGACTCTGATGACTATGTTCTCCATAATTCCGACGATGGTGATGACGAAGATGGGTGGGAGGATATGGACGGAATGGGAATTCCCAACTACGACAAACTAAAATCTTATGTGGATTCTGATGAGGAAGAACATGATCAAATGTCAGATAAAGGAATCAAGGATACACTTGTCCAGTTCTTCAAAGAATGTATCACAAAAAATGTTGCGAACTTCCAATTCTACTACGAAATGTTGGATGACGATGAGAAAGCTGCTATATCTGAAAATGTGATATTTGCCTAAAGCAGTAATCCGTGAAATAACTTTTCGTCGCATGAATAGACTATACCAATGGATCAGTTCCACAAGTTCTACGGTTTAAGTTACAAAAAATGTAACACACATTTTTGTATTCAATCCGCTAGAAGCTCCCGACAAAGCTACGTGTACGATGCTGAGAAATTCCGGCTCCAATATTAGTTTTTCTCAACAATTTGAAAATTTCTCGGGGCTCTGCTTAACCTGAAATTCATTATTCTAAGTTTGCAGATTTGGAGAAGTGAAAAATTTATAGATACATGAATAGTGAAGTTCATATGCACACCCATCTTAATGCCTCAAGACTCGAGAGTCATTGCACATCGCAAGTTTGTCGTAAATGCAAGCGGTAAAGTGCCATTCTAAACTATTGAAAAGGGCAATGCATACCAAAATTTTAGCAGTACTGAAGCATTCGATCTCATTTTTAAATGAAAAGCCTATCTTTAATGATGAGAATACTGAAAAGGATATGCGCATGGCAGCGAGCGCAGTCAGGCAAGCGGGCAAGGTAGTTGCGTTTCCGACCGAAACTGTTTATGGTTTAGGTGGTTCTGCACTTAATGATCAATCTGTCAAAGCAATATATCAGGCCAAAAACAGGCCGGCAGACAATCCTTTGATTGTTCATGTTTCATCCATCGAGCAGGTTCAAAGAGTCATACTAACCGAGCTGCATAAAATCCCCCCTGTCTATGAGAAGCTCTTGCAAAGGTTTTGGCCTGGACCTCTAACTATTTTGGTGCCAATTGAGAAGGACTGCCCAATTTCTGAGTTGGTAACAACAGGTCAAAAGACAGTGGGTGTTCGAATGCCAGATCATTCGATTGCAAGGGCACTCATCGCACTTAGTGATACTCCTTTGGCTGCGCCCTCTGCGAACGCATCGACTAGACCTAGCCCAACATTAGCAAGCCATGTGATGTTTGATTTGAATGGTAAAATTCCTTATATTCTAGATGGTGGGGCCTGCTCTGTGGGCGTGGAGTCAACCGTCATCGATGGTCTTTGCAGTCCCCCTATGTTGCTCCGCCCAGGTGGTGTGTCAGCCGAGGACATAAAAAAGTATGGAGGAGAAGAATGGAAAAACCTTGTGATTGCAAAGAAGAGTGCTGGAAAATCTGAGTCTGTAAGAACCCCTGGGATGAAGTACAAACATTATTCACCTACCGCAAAGGTTATACTTTTTGTCAATTGTGGGGATGGCGCAGAATCAGTCCGGCATTTTTTGAAAAAGAAGGAAGGTAAAATTGCTATTCTCAAATCAACCAGATTTCTCCTGGCTCAAGAGATGGGTGTTTCAAATGTTATCGAGCGTGAACTCGGTAACTCTGCTACAGAAATCGCACACAGTTTATTCAGGGAACTACGTGATGTGGATGAATTGGGCGTGGACTACATCTTGGTGGAAGGTGTAGAAGAAGTGGGAGATGGTCTAGCGGTCATGAATAGACTTTCCAAAGCAGCTAGTGATATCATTGAGGGGGACTACAAATCATGATAGCGATATATAGTACTGGTCGGCATATGGACAATGCTATTTGGGGTAGAAAAATTTGTGGCATGAATTTTGCATCTCAGTGATTTGGAAAAAAGAGAATTTGTTATGCCTCGGATCAAGAGTTTCGTTTACTTCATGTACTTGTTCGCAAAGTATGACTTCAAGTGTGCATGTGCTGAATCTTAACAAACTGCATCACCAAGGCTTTAGATAGGTGCGCGACTCAGCACGACTATACCTTTCGGCATTGGGATCTGAGATCCTCCTACAACTGATAGTGTCATTATGTTTTGAAAAGTAAGGGCTATTTCTATATCTTTACGCCGCTTTTTAGAAAAGGATTCAATGAAAATGAAGAACAATCCGATAATCTCTTTTAATCGCCATCAAATTGACTAGGTGCGTCGTGGCACGTTCTTGTTTTTTCAGTATCAGATTTCTCAATTCAAGTATGTACGGTACTTCGGATCCTTAGGATACTAC